GGCGGCGTAGGATCTTGTGTCTTTGGCTCTTTGCACGTTGTTGGGAGGAGATATTTGGGATCAAGAATTTGGTGAGAATATTTAATATTATAATTCCCCTTTGACCTAAATATTTTTTTCCAATTATTTAGTAGTATTGGACAACTAATTACCTTAAAATTCCCTTTGACCTCAAAATTATATTCTTATTTAGTAGTTAGTAGACAATTAATTAACTTAATTAAGTACGTACTCTTGAAGGCAAAATTCCCATTTAGGGAAATGAGTCCATGTTTTGAATATTACAAAACTATTGAAAAAATGACAAAATATTCTTTCTTTTTTTTCCGAAATGTAGAGATGTACACGTACACATGGGTGTGTGTGCAGATCGACGGTTAGTAATTAAACAGTGTAATTCATCATCGAGTGTAGCATCAAGTAAACTATTTCCTAACATGGAGCATTTTACTTTGAGCCGAAATCAACGGCGGGATTGCTTCAGATTTCCACTCATAAAGCCACCTTCATATCATATGATCTAACTTATTTAATTTTTTGTCAAATTTAACAGCAAAAGCCAGCTAGCTACATATAACTAGGTTAGTTAATTACTTCAATTATAAAAATAATAAAATAATAATAAAATGAAATAAAGCAGTGAGTCCCACATCACTTACTTTATAGGAGCAGCATTATTTCATTTGATTTAAGACACTTTAGGGATTGGTTATGGCAAATTAGATATTACAACTGATTATTTGTATTTGGTAGATTTAAATCATAAATCTATTACATAATTACACACACATTTTATGTATGTGTGTTTAGTGGTCGTTATTTAATCAAATCTACAGTACAAATTCATTCGGTGTAAATAATCAGGTGTAACATCTAACTTCCCGACTCGTTACACTCACCATACATGATTTCCACTTTTGTGTTTTGAATTATTTGAATGGTCCAATGTCATCATTCATCAATTTGGAAAAGAATCATCTAAATATTTAGATTGGCTTTACTATAGATTCTATGTGTGTTTTATATGTGACTCAAGTATTTTGTGGGGTGTCTCACCAAAAAAAAAAATTAAAAAAAAAATAAACAAATAAAAAATATGTAAAATATCATGTGATATGTCCAAATTAATCATCATCACCAGAAAAGCAGCTAATATAAAAATCTAAATTTAAAGAGATATTTTTAGAAAGAAGAGAAGCAATATAATAAATCAGCAAATTTCCAAGTATATTTATATTCAGACAGCAGATTCACTACCCATCTCACAATTGTTGTTCTAAATACCAACCGACATGGTGTAGTAATTGTGAGGTGGACCCTTTGACACCTTACTGCTTCATCATCTTTCAGATGGGTTTTAAATGGCAGTTATTTTGGTTTTTACAAAAAAAAAAAAAAAAAAAAAAAACAACTCATTTATACACACAGTGCAACAAATATATGTATTGTCGGTAATATCAATTACAGACTCACAATTGAATTATTGTTGCAGTATTCAATACCAATCGGTAGATGTCCGTATACCTAACACTGTTGTTGTGTTCCATCTATTTTCTTTAAATTATTGTCAAGATTTGAGGCCACATGAACACGAGAGACGATTAAAAATCACGCGCAGTTTAAATCGGAGTTAAGTTCACTACTACAACCATATCTTTTGAGTTTACTAGTCGGAAAAAAGAAAAAAGGAAAATCGAACCTCAAATAGTCATTCGAGAGAATTGTGTTCATACGGGAGTAAAATAATTAGACGGGAGAAAGATCTTTGACGAGAATTTAAGCCGACACAGAAGCACCAACCCTGTCGCGAGGAATCAGGCGCAGTTCGGACCCGTGTTTAAGAAACACATTTCCTGATAAATCCATTGCCAACCAGACATCAGAACTAAAAATAACATGTGCAGGATTTCAGATTCTATAAAATGCCAAAGAAAATAATTCCAATTAATTCAGACATCCTAAAAAAAACAGTTTAAAGGAGACGGGTTAACAAAAAGCCCTATTTAGGAAAAGAGTATGGCGCTTCTATTCATTTTGTTAATAACATGATACATAAATGTGTGTAGGCTCTTATAAATATATATATACGTAATAACAAGGTATTTCGTAGCTATCAAAGAGTGGTACGAATATGCGGTATGAGCATTATTGGCCAAGCCAAGTTATACGAGGAGAAAATGCAGCATAACATATAAATGTAAAAAAAATCTCTTCTTTTGGAGCGTAAAATAGTTCCATTTTCTCTACATTAGTAGCTTCATTTAGTCCAAGATTTATATGCCTTTTTCTCTTCTAACGTGATCCGTACAAGCATATTAGTTGTAGGAATAAGGAAACACACTAAGGCCCCTATTTATACTAAATCACCTCCCTAATGGATGACATTAGTTAACTAACGACTTCCAAAAGAATTCTACTTTCGCCATTTTCTTGGGCTAAGTTAAGAACATGCCTTGTTGGATCGTAGAAAGACTCTCGACTCAAAGAAAATGTGCTAAGTGATGGCCCTAAAATGGAGACGGAGATAGAAAAACCACAATCTAGTTATGCAACTCGACTAATTCCAAATACCATTATAACTGACAGTCTGACACAGGGCATACGTGAATTCCAACACAACAATGATGGTGATCATGTAGGCAGCCATCAAACGTGCGTGCCTCTAGTCGATTATCAGATTAACACGATAAACCAACATTGAAAATAAAGAGTAATAAAACAAACTAAATTAATAAGAAGAATTCAACACCTGCACTCTGTTGAGGATTAATTCCAACTCCATCTGCATTTGAAAAAAAAAAAAATAAAAATTAATGATCAGCCAAAGGGGCAATTTTCAGACTCCAATTGATTTTTAATGTCGTTTTATGGTTCCCCTAGAAAAATCCCCAAATTTGCAATGCCAAAAAACTATTTCAGATTACCAAAAATAAAATAAATTAACAAAATCCAATTAAAAAAATTGGGGAAGAAATTAAACAAAATTACCATTGGTGATGATCGCACTAGTTTGGGGAGGCACTTTGAATTCTTCGGCAGCAAATTTCAGAACGGCGGTGAATGGAGCTGCCTCCGGTACGCTGAATCTGTTCATCAGTTTCGATTGCAGAAAACATATATGAAAATTAAATTAAATTAAACAAAAACAAATTATTTCGAAGATGAAAAATGATTTAACAGGGAAATAATATTCAGAAAGGTCCTTACACTTTGAAAGGAAGTTTGGGATCAGAAGTAAGAATGACTTTGAACGACACCCTTTCCGCCACCTCCGCCGCCACTAGCGCCACCGCTCGCCATTGAAATACTTTCTCTCTTTTTTTTTCTCGTTTTTCCTTTGTTCAGTATTTTTAATTTTTATTTTTTTACAGAAGAGAAATGATGCAGAATAAAACTGCTTGATACACACGCGCCGCGGGTACAGCCAACCAATGACTATCAGACACGTCATGACACAATGCCAAGTGTCTTGCCTACTTGGCATGGCCAAAGAATTCTATAAAAATATTAAATTTGGATCAATATAATATTTTTTTCTTGGGTCTCGAATTTTAACAAACTAGATCCATGTCCTCAGGCCCAGGCCTGGGTCCAAATTACAACCACCCCATTAGAAAACGTCTATTTACGAAAAACCCCTCATTATTCCAGAATTAAATCCACCTCGTCAATTTGTAGATTTCTTACATTAACACCCTTTTTTAGGGGTGGATGTAAGAAATTTACAAAGTGCAGGAGGCAGGATGTAATTTCTCAAAAATATGTTGTTTTTTTTGTAATTACACTTTACCTCAGGGAGGTGGTTGTAATTTACCGTAGTATAAACAATAATGTAGCCAGTCTGGCAAGTACGAACCAACCATTAGCATTAGCATTAGCATTATCAGGACCGTAAATTCTGATTTAATTATATTAATATGATTCTCGAGCAAGTCCGAGTTAGTGTTACAACACATTGCCAAATTCGGGGTGAAAAAACATATACAGAGAAGATAAAGAAACATGTGTAGTGTCAGGCACCTTTCTGAGGCAAAGTTTCGAAAGCAGAGACAGTATTATCGAACTTGATTCGGTGAAGCGGCGCACCGCTTTGTCTGATAGCACAAGCCTGCTTGTCCTCCAATGGACACCTGGCTTTCAACATCGAAAATACGTGATTGTTCATCCTCCTTCCTTTCTTCATTGCCTCCAACAAGCCCTCCAATCCCTTTTTTTTCAGAAACGAAACTAACATCAACACTTTGAAATATCATAGCAGATACCAAAAATCAGGCACTAGTTAAAAGCAGATAATTAAGATCAAGGCCATTCGTTATAAATGATTTTTAAGGCGAGCCTCGGATAATTCGAACGTGAACATGTTTTTTCGTTTGTAAGAACCAAATCTGGTTTTTGTCTTTCTGTAATAATACTGATAAGTTTTTGGAAAGTGGTGAGGGGCCTTGGCCCCCCAGGCTTTATTCGAAATGACGATTTGTGTGTGTGTGTGTGTGTGTGTGTGTGTGTGTGTGAAGTGGGAAATGAAATATTTCGTACTTGGACAATGTGAGGATTCTTATGGGCGGATGCAATCGCTGCAACTTCAACCTCTGCTACATTTAGGACCTGATGCGAGAAATCGAATAACTCGAAGTGCAATTGTTGCCCCAATAAATATATTATTGTACAGCCGCCCCAAGCAATCGAGTCACCCAGCATCCCATGACGACTCGGTTGTGCCTGAACCGCTTCCTCCAAATACTCCTGCAATTCAACAACAATAATTGGATATTAAAAATAGTTACGAGTAATAATAAATCTTGAATTCGTAGGAAATCAGTTAAACCAAGAGCTGTTTATTTATTACCATTTGGAGGCCGCTGTATATACGGTAGAAGTCCTTGGAAGTTGTAATGTCCACAAACCCCGTTTTGGGAATCACGCTCCATTTACTGCAGTATTTATCTAAAGCTGCACTTGTGAAAGCAAGCGAATATTCCAGCACACTTCCGGCGTTTATGTTGGATTTATAAAGCAGATCTGCAGCACACGAAACCAATTACACTTTCAGCATATATGTATGTACGTGTGTATATGTATGTATAGATCACGAGGAAATGAATACCGGCAGCTTCTGCTTGTCTCGACAGGACACGTAATGAAGATGGATTCGAGAAACTGGGATTTGAAGTAGTTGCAATAGATTTGAATAAACTAATGATAGGGCTGTCTTCACTGTCTTGAAACTGTATGACCTGTCCATCTACGCCGGGAGTTAGGCCCAGCCAAGGGGCAGTCTGCATGAATTGGCTAGTGTCCACTTCTCTCTGTCGATTTAATCGATTTTTTTTTTTACAGTATAAGAAGCTATAAGAATTGTATCCAAACCCGAACAAAATCTAACATTAACACTCTTCTTCTTGTTTGTAGTTCCCCATGAAATCTCCACCTTTTCGTAAAATAAAGTGTAGGAAAAACTCACCAAAACAATATCAAGAAGACTCATCCAGTATAAGACGCTTCCGATTTCCTTTATTCCGCGAAGAGCCTCGATTTTCAGTTCTGATTTTGACTGCCAGCAATTAAGATGGTCTTGTACGATCCTTACACAACCTAGCACAAGACAAGAACACATAAAGCAAAAGGATATAAACTGAAACGAAAGAAATACACACACGCAAGAACAAAAACAAAAAAAAAAAGAGGAAAAAAATGACAAAATGGACCAACGGTACATCATTTACCTGCTACACCACCATCGAAAGGAAGCAATCCTATAGATTTGGGTAAAGCGTTTTGCAGTCCCGTGATCAATGGTTCAAGGGTAGTTATCTGAAAAATTAATACAGAAATCTTATAATTCGGGCTTCCACACATTTCACGTACTGAAAAAAGGAAAACGAGTGATGTATCAAATTTTACACTAGTATTCTAGCATAAATTACTCTACTGGCCTTGCTGTGACAGTAAATATCACGTTACATTTCACTCAACATTATCACCCAAAACCGCATATTATCAGCAGAAACCTTGATAAATAAGGTAAAATCGTAAGGGGGATAAGTACACCTTGTTTGATATTATTTAAAGAAAAATAAAAAAAGAGTATACCTTGTTTGATAAATGATCTAATAATGCTCGGATAAGCCATGGTAATGATCTGGATCCAAGGAGTCTGACAGTGGAGTACATATGAGGCAATCCAAAAAACGCACTGTGTAATCGGGCATAGCTCTGGTATGCAGAATTCAGATCCTAAATCAACACACAATGAAAAAGTGGAATGTCAAAAGGAATAAAAAAAATTACAGTAATATCAAACAAGTATACGAGCTTCAATCTATCATGAGATCAAGGAATCGTAAAGTAAAAGCCAGTAAAATGAATTATCTCCAACCACGATAATACAGCATCAAGAAAAGGATAACGATTACCATATCAGATATAAAAAAAATAAAAAAATAAAAAAATAAAAAAATAAAAAATAAATAAATAAAAAAAAAAACCAACTTGAGTGAAGCAATTAGTCAAGAACAAAACTAAAAGCATCAAACTGAATTAAGCAAATCATTTCATAGTCCATTTAAGGACGATCCTTTAAAATATTAAAAAGCAGCGTCGTTTTTGTGCTAATCAGGGTGATATCAAGTAGTTGTTACAAATTGTGGGACAAATGAATCAAGCATTGACAATAGATTGATAATTCTCACTTGAGTGCCACAATAGAAATTTGGCTTTGCATGCGGAACCGATGGCTTCGGGACAGGAGCAGGAGGCACTTTCGATGATCTGACAAAGCGCTGAGTTGTATTGCATAGTATAAAGTTGGGTAAGAAGTCGTTTTGCATCTCCGTCCATATCTGGAAAATTTAAGAATATACAAGCATTTTGTCAGAAATGGATACTCTAGATGGATGATTTAATGGTAGAGTTTTGTTAAATATTACTTTCTAATGTCATTTATTAATAACCACATTTCCTCAAGAATGTTATAAAAAAACAAGAATCCAAAAGGGTTATACAGGGAAAACGCGGGTAACAGACAATTAAATGAACAAGAATCCAAAAGGGTATTTTCGTCTTTTTATGCGTCTTTTTGTTGTAGTCAAACTAAGCAAAAGTTCCATTACTTCGAAAAGCAATGATTTTTTTAAATAAATGATATTCCCCGTCAGTAACTAATGAACCTTTATTTTATTTTCCAGCCAATAAAATGTCATACCTGAGAAGCAAGTCTGCTAGAATATGAAACAAGAGATACATTCTCTTGCATCTCATTCAACATGAGACTAAATGAATCGAGAGCCAGATCTTTTGATAGTAATTCATGAGCAAGCTGCAAGATTTCGAGGAGCTTTTCCAATTCCTAGAATTGAAGTCTTCATTAGTAAAGAGTCAAACAAAAAGTCAAACTGAGGTAAGACGAGTATAAACTACCTAGCAAAAAATTACTCACCACAATAGCACATAGATCTTGAGTCTCGAATCGGTCGAACAAAAATTCAATGTTCTCCCTGAATACTTTGTTTATCCTCTCAGTGGTCAAACTTCTCAAGTTGATAGTCCTTCCCAGCAACTAAACACCATGAAAAAAATCCATTTTTTACTAAATCGATTCCATCTTATCATACTCAGATAAGCAAATGTCAGTCAACAATTTACTAGGAAAATTACAATTCCTAATCAAGGATTTTGGGAGTAACGGAGAAAATGCAATCTTAAATTTACGAGACATCCACAAATAAACATATATCAAGAGCACATTGTTGACATCTATGTGCATGTTAACAACTATACAAAATATAAGCGTACTATTTATGAATGGTAGAGGTCAGATAACATGAAGGCTGGGGGAAAACTATAGATGCACATATGATATATCAGATGTTGTTTTACATGTATATGTATGTGTACATGCTTATTTCCTTGGACAAACACAAACAAATAAAAGATGTACCTTTCACATTGTAATGTGCTATGGTAACTGATAAAAAAAATAATAGATTCTAGTTATAGCTTACATTTTATCGCTCTTTGGATGCAATAATTAAATTAGTATAAGATAGTGGATGGCTGTATCTAAAGTACAACCGCTGCTATTTTTGGGAGAGAGAGAGAGATTCATGTTCATACCTTCACTCTTGTCATTTTTAACAGTCCAGAAAATCTCATCGGTTGGACAGAAAACTTCTCACCAATGTCCAAGGCAAAGAGGAATGACGGATCCAGCAGCTCACTGAGGTGTTGGAATTCAAAGTGTCGTTAAAGTTTTTTTATAAATGGATATGGTTCAGATAGACGTTGGAATTACAAACGAAAAGTTTGAAGTGAGTACCTAGCTGCCCAACTCTTGTAGTATGTGAAAACAGCGTCACAGAATTTTGATATAAATATGTCAAAGCAATTGTCCACCTGAAAAGAAAACATATACCTTCTCTTTAGAAGCTTACTTATATTTACAGAGGAAGTTCGAGGAAAGGTAGATAGGGTGCAGATGTCATCTGTGAAGTGCTATTGACCAATGTAGCATCTCCAAACATGTCCAAATAGTTTTCAAATAGGTTCCCATGGTTTAGATTTAGTTACCTCAGCTTCAATTTCATCGTAAAGAAATCGTTGCTTGAGGACCACTAGTGCTTGTTGAGCAGCATCGTTATAGATGTCAAAGGGCATCAAGACATTCTCAAGAAGACCTGCATTTTGAGACTCTATCACATGGTCCACCAGCATCCAAGGAAGCGAACACTCGATAGGAAACTGCAAGAAAAATGATGTATGGATAAAGGGTTTTGCTGGAATATAAGGAAATTGATATAATTAAGTAGGAAGTTTGGCGACGAAGAAAATTGAGAGTGATATGGGGTTGTCATTCATTATCCAATCCGAATGGGTATTTATACGAACTACACGGACACAACAATACTGAAACCATCTCTAATTCTAACTATTACAAATTTCTAATCACCCCTTTTACCTGGATGACACGAGAAGATTCCAAGTAAAATTCCCTGAACCATAGGAAACCAACATCTGTCAACATTGCGACTGTCGCTGCAAAAAGCATAAGAGCAAAGTCAGTTCAATTATGATGGAGACATATACGGGCATACTGATGTACCATTGATTTATGACCGAAAGAAAATCATGCATTATGGTAAAGATTGTCTGATCAGACCTGAATAATCTAATATATGCAAGAAAAAACCAAGCTTGTAGAAAAAGGTTTCCAGCTGTTTTAAATCATTGACTGGAATGTCTGAACCAGTATTTCCAAACAGACCACCGGGCTTTCTCATGTTGCCACCTGATACCACCTCGTATATTAAGTATTGTAAGCAATGGACCTGGATGCATGTGAGATCTGGTTAGGTTCAAGCTGTAGTATATTCATAAAGCCCAAGGTAGAAATTCATCAACCAAGTATTCCTTTTATAATATATGAATCAAGTTTAAACTAATTGATGGGGATAGGGTGCAGGTATGTGCAAACAACGTGACACGGATAAATCAAATTAATGTTAGTTATTCTTATTTATTTCCTACTGAAAATGGTGAAAACTAGATATTTGTCTTCTGTTATGCGAACAAATAATACAATGTGCGTCTCCTAACTAATTTAATAAGAAAACAAACCTTTGTAGCTTGGGTGCGAAATATTTAACATGATCATGACTAAGATAAGAGAACCACAAACCTGTGCAGCTGTGGGCGCCACGGGTCTTGGATAGAAGAAGTTTGCTCTACTTTCTTCACCACCCTGCTGGAATGCTGGCATTTCAGAATCAGGTTTGCTTGTATTAGCCATCCAATCAGCTGATAGTGTTCTCATATCAGAAAGAATCCTGGAAACAGCAAAACAGCGAGCTTAATAATTTGTACAACTTTTCATATCGATAACTTCAAGACAGCAAAATATTGAAGTCAAACACGGGAAGTCCCAGCACCAGTTTGAGATGTGTATTGCCATCTCAGACATTATTAAAATGAATCAGTCAAAGAATGTAATGTTCGAAAAAACTCCAATCACATGACTATGAATGGGTTTGACAGATTAGTGCTTTCAAGCTCGATTTTTTTAGAACAATCATGCTTGAGGAAGTGTTAATATTAAGAGATTTGGGTTTTCATCAGTTGGTCATTCGGTTATAGTTGATTTAGGTTGCAGTAACAGGTTGTTTCGGTACTAACTCTAACTTATTTCTTTACCATTTATAGGATTACAAAATATTGTAGTCGGTTTTGGTAAATTTTGTAGGCTCCATATGCAAGCACTAGTTTTTGCATTTTAGGGTCTGAACCAAATTGTTCTCAAATCAGGTCAATCAGAGCCAAAGAACATGGCCTGCACCAGGTGATCATTAAATTCGACTAAGATTGTATCATATGTAATTAATGAACTTCACCACAGAGAAGGAAGAAGTCAAAATGTGGAATAAAAATCAAGAATAACCGAGTATTTTGCAATATACCTCGAAAGGTCTTTCTTCTTCCGGAAGGTAGTCCGCAGCATAGTGGCCAATGTATTTTGCACAAAATCTTGGACCTCTGCATGCACAGTTTCCCACAAGGCATCTGCCACCAGTGTATCGGATTTCTGCATCAGTGACGCAATTCCCTTGATGTAGCTCACAAGCTCTACCAAAGCTTTCCTTTCATCAGCACTATAATTATACCGTACTACCTGCAGCAAAATTGAGCAGGTCCATATTAGCGGAATATTTGGACTTTGACGAAAATTTAAAATTTATTTAAAATATTTAGCAACAAACATATGAATAATGAAACGAAAGTCAAAACCTTCTCGTAGTCGGAAAAAGATGCTGTCTCATGTGACTCTGTTGAAACAGGATCTTTGCAAGGTCGTGAAAATTTCCATGCACACTGCTCCCATATACGTGCAGTCCATCTACTTAGGAGTTGAAAACCTTCCACAACCATATCATATACATTTCCTTTGACTTCCTTTGCCCACTCCACATCTGCACCATCCATTGATCTCAATAAAGAAAGCTGCAAAATAAAAATAACATGCATCATCAAAACATTAACAAATAGAAAAACAGAGGATCTCAATAACGGAATAGCATGCTTTTATGCTTCTGTAGCTTATCACTACAACAAAACACACATAATACACAACCACAAACTATGTTAGATGTTCTATACATATGTCTCGGTCTGTGTGTGTGAGATATAGATAGGGATGGATTAGATTGATATACAGAGAGAAGGGAAAGTAAGTAAAAGCACCTGATTCAAGGCAGAGGCAAATCGAATGGAGAAGTCATCATGTTCAGCACGAATTGCCCCAATGTGATTGATGATCAAATATTGACGCTGATAAGTAAATTTAAGTCAAGGCACCAACTATAAGATCATGCTTTTCCACATTTATGAAAGAAACAATTATGTGTGTGTGTGTGTGTGTGTGTGTGTGTGTGTGTGTGTGTGTGTGTGTGTGTGTGCAATATTCAAGGATATTCTTGTGCCTCGCGAAGTAGTAGCTCATGGGGTGAGGAAAGAGTAAGAAGACGAGTTTGAGCGGAAAATTTTGGGAAATACGTTGACAACTCTTTCAGTATTGCCGCAGGAGAAAGATGGAGATCTGGAAATGCGGGGATAACTGGATCGTTCTACATCAAAAGAAGGATTAGTTCGGACAACCAATTACTCTAATTACGAAAGAATATAGATACATCGAACTTAATGTACCTTGAATATGTTGATCAATCTGTTGATTTTCACTCTCTTGTACAGAGACTCGCTGTCTTTCTCTGATGAAGCTGCCAAGACAACAAGAACAGGCAAAACACGAAGAAGAATGTAGCGCTCTGGAAAGAGAAGGGCGAAATTTAACTCCAACGACTCAACGGCGAAAACTATGAGAACTTGGAGAATGTCTTCAACACTAATTACAAGTTAAGGAAGGAATTCAAAGACATATAGCATACATAGAATCATTGAATTGAACTAAGCATTATCATTTGATTATTGTTCAAAATCTCTTAAGCTCTAGGGATAGAAAGCTAATAACTATTTAGTAACTTTTGCAACATTTGTTGAGTTCAGCTGATGTGAAGTATGCTGATAAAGAAACGAGTTCGATATGAAGGATACTTATTGACCCGAAACATTTCAACGTGCAAATTCAACAAAATTGCCCATCTCGTGCTCAAGAAGATCTGTCAAGATACATAACAGAGGATGATCGTAAATGATTAAGAAATATGGTTATCAAATAAACATCATTGGCTCAAAACCTGGTCTCTACATAATATTTTAGAAAAGCGCAAAAGAACACACTAACCTGTAAATCATCTAACTCTTCCCTCATTGAATCTGTATCTTGCCACTGTACACTGACTTGTGTAAATGTCCTGATAATTAAATAAAATTATATGTTGAGCACCTATATATTCGATAAGGTAAACTGAAAAGTAAAAGGTAAAGCCAAAGCACAGTGCACATGCAAAATGTGACAGAAATGCGTATGTGTGATGGATCAGCAGAAAATATTTCAGCTATAATGGAGTAAGAAGACAAATTTGAAACTGAATACTTAATTTGGCCTCAGTCAAAGAAAGACACGCATCAATAACCCAACAACTATATTAGCAACTGTTCTTTTTTTCTATTCGAAAAACAGGCCAACCAAAAACAGAGACATGAATACAATGATTTTTTAGAATCTCCATAAATGAAAAAAATAAAAGAAAATAGAAAAATATCTCATGCCAAAGTTAAAAATTCTTGAGTTAGTTAGTACATATGGTATATTGAACCCTCAATAGTGTAAAAATACAAATACTTCCAGAAATCAGATAAGAAAAACCAAAGTTCAATTAAGCCGTGTAAAATTTCTACTTGTCCGTTGAAAACGCCATATATACCTTTTGTACCAAGAGAAATCATTAGGAATGCTAGCCTTTGCATTTTTTAGATGATCAAGTTGGATCAACACATCCAGCAACTTCAGCATTGACCTACAATGAAGTATAACATCAGCAAAAGACTTTTTCCAGAAAGCTAAAAAAAATAAAAAGGGTTGCCAAACGGACCAGAGATGTGTTATAGTAGGACCATTGATTCGTCGCTCTGGCCTTGAAAACCGTTGCATATCAGCTGCTAGCTGTATCAAGATAACTATCTTAATGCTCAGAATAGAACAAGAAATAGTGAAGAAAAACAAAAGGATGATAGTTCATACTTTTGATGAAGCTGATGCTTGCCAACGCTGAATTTCGCGCAAACGGCTCATCTCAAGGTCTAATACTTGATAAGTTTCTAGGTACAGGTCAGCCTGACTGTGCTTCATAGAATCTGGAAGCTGCAAACATACATATACATATATATATATGAACATATCAAGCCATAGTATAAAGACTAAAGATCGATAGCATACATTGATTTATATTATCACTTAGAGGTTAGAGATAATTCGACACACCTGAGGAAGTGCTTTTACGCAACTCCGATATGTATAGAGCACTGAACCCATTTCTTTACCCTCTCGCATGAGCAAATTCTGCACCCATTTTGAACATTTTAGATCATATAAATATTAACTGACCCTCGTTTGAAACCAGTTACAAAATCCAAAACCGAAACAGTTGACCAATATGAAGTTGTAGTGAGAAACTACACAGAAGTACTGTACATAAAGCATCTCCAGTAAATATAAATCATACCAGCTGATTTATGGCTTTTGTGTCCTCAGATAGAGATAGTCGATAGGCAGAAACATCAACGTATTCTGCAACATAAGGATGAAACTAACGATTTATATGTACATCTTCATGTTTAGCTTAGACAGCAAAAAGTATTAAAAAGTGTCAGAACAAGGCATCAGTTAAATCATAAACAACCAAATCTTTCTTCTTCTTTTTTACTTGATCCTTACGTCCGTCCCAAGGAAATACTTATACAGACATCTTCATGAGGCTCCAATTCATCAACAAGTAAGTTGAATTTTCTTTTATGTTATCTTTAGCCAAAGACGATAAAAAGTTGATCACATATGTACTCGAGAATTAGTATTCAATACTCCATTGAAGGTTTAATTAACTACGTAACTCCATGTGCCAAGGCACAGACAGAAACTATTTTATACATTACTTGTGCTTTTCTTTAACGTTATTTTATTTAGCATCTCGCTAACTCTGTAACCAACTAATTTACCATTAGTACTGGCTGATTCACAGTCTATATAGAAGCCATAAACACATAGATGTTGATCTACATTGTTCTGTCGCGTTTTTCTTCAACTCGTGAACTATATTTCTCGAAATAAAATCAAGTTAATACAACACCCAAAGCTAACGCGATATGCTTTTTCGAGTCGTATAGTGCACAGGCAAACACTAAAATCCTACTTCTCCATGGCATCCCATAAAGAATTGGGTTTATAATTCTAGGAAACGCAACGAAACCCATAAAAAAATATTTTCATGAAAGCACAACAACCCATAAAAATATTTCAAAAAAAAAATACTTACCAATGGGACTAGTAGTTGCACCTCTCTCACTAGACACCCAAAACCCAGGTCCCTGAATCTCCGGTTGATCATCCTAAAACAAATTCAATTGCACTATTTCCTTAAACCCCACTAAATTACAAAAAAAAAAGTATAGGGTTCCTGCAATTGCTAAATGCACAAAATTACCTCCAAAGAGAATGTGGACAATGCAGCAATAGCTTCATCTACTGGAACAGCCATTAGAGATCTGGCAAGTAAAATATGAAACCAAACAAACAAAAGACACTTCTTAAGAAATGCAAAACGACGACGTTTGAAATCTTAGCACAACAACAGCAGAAGAAGAAAATGTACACTTCAATTTTCGTTTACCTGTTTTCCACCAGCTCCCGACTGCCTGCAATTTTGCAGAATTTAGTGAATAATGAATTGATTCTAACAGTATATTCGCCTCTTGGTCTTCACCAGATCGTTTGCAGAGACTGGTTAACCACGTTTTTTTTTTTTTTTTTTTTTTTTAATCTTTGCTCAGACTACAAGAATTGATGATTATGATGCCATTGCCACTTAATTTAATTTCTTGATTTTGAAGCATTTGACGTGTAATAATTACTAAAACTAGAAAGGAAATTATCGGGCCTTCTTGTGTTTTCGGGCCGCGGGCCGTGGACAGCTGCAGAATCAGCTTTGTTTCACTTTCACCATAGAAAGCCCAATAAGGAACAATTTTGATTCATATCATAGAGCCCAATAGGAGGCAATTTGCTAAATACCTTTCAAATTTAATTTTCTTTTATACAGCAGAATCTCAATAAATTAATATTCTTTCTCGATCCCGACTTGAGGACAGCATGTTAAAAATATATATCATCAAAATTAATTTTTTGTCAAATTACTGAAATTTGGCTAGTCCCGACTATATTAATTTATAAAAAATTAACTGTATTAGGATAGTTATATTTTTGCATTTTGCTAAAAGTTTATCGGACAATTTAGTTAGAGAGATTAGAAGAAAAATAAATATGTTAGAATGAATATTCATTATTCATTGTTAATAAACTAGCGATGCATGAGTTTTTTCGGCGTTCGAGTGAGTAAGATTTGAAGAAAGATTTTGCCCTTCGAGGATGCAAATCTTGCATCATTGTATCTAGTTTCACTTTTATTTACATGATAGTCATAATTAATCTTTGAAAATAATTTCCAATAAATCTTAATTTAATTTGCTTGAATTATATAAGTATAAAAAATATATTTTTTGTACTAGTAAATGATAAAATTTCAAAAAAAAAAAAACGGTTCAAATTGGGCCTATCCGATAACCCGGAAAAAGAACTAAAATTGATCTTCAAGCCAAATTTCCACCCGACCCGACCCGACCCGGTTGGTAAAGCCCTATACTGAAGCGCGTTTATATCCTCACTCTCTCTCTCTCTCTCTCCTCTCTTTCTCTCTCTAACATCTAGTTAGCTCCAGATTCTTCTGTTTCACCTCCGGCCACCAATTTCCAGAGCCAAAGGGCAAGGAGTTAAATAGGTAAAAGTTAACAATTATCCAGCGTAAGCCTTTCTCAAAGATTTCACACAGTTACACGCAATTTCTCGCACAAAAAATGGAGAAATGAACAACTATTTTTTTGGCAAAATCGTTTATTTTCCATAGTAGACTGAAACAAAGCTTCGAAGTTTGTTTTTTTGGCATAAATTTAAGAAGACATCGCTTTGAGCTGTATGTCATTTTGTTTAATTCGTTCAATTTGGGCTTTTTGTTTGTTTCTGTGTTATCTCAATTGGCGCTGGTAACTTCCGCCTGCGTAGGTTATCTGCTTAGCTTCATAGTTAATTCATTCGCACCTCGAAAACATTTTGCTAAATTTTCTCAATTGGCGTCTTGATGTTGTAAATGTACAGGGGATTGGATGGCAATTGTACCGTGTGGAAGTACATGGGTGACTCGGTGGGGGGCTCAGCCTCAACTCGCATTGAGACCCTCTGTTACCAATAAAGTATCGACATCCCCGAATTGGTAAACATTTTCGTATTTTTTTTATTTGTGACCCTTATTTGTGCCGTATTGAACTACCGAACATTTGCAATTTACCGAATTTTGCAGCTCTTGACTTACCGTATTCCTTGTTTTTGTGTATTTATAGCTATGACGTTTTGGCGGTTTACTGCCTCTTCCATTTTTTATTTTCGTATTCGTTTTTTGCTTTCGAGTAATAGTGACAGACACGTGTAAGATGTGTGGAGGAGCTGCTGTTGGTCTTTATTTAGAATGTATCGATTCTGTTGAAAAGTAATTTGTTTTAATTATGTAGATTATAGTGGCTTAATGTAGACAATAACTACTACAAACCGTTGAAAAGAGTTTTCAAATGTGCTATTGATGACGGACGTAGAAGAAACATTATTTCGTCTAAGTGCATGGAGGTTAATGATTACATTCTGGTACCCGTTATGCAAGACATCTGGCCTGGTGCCCAAACCGTATTTTACATCTTGTTTTGTTTTGACAACTATATAATCTTCTTATCCAAATTAAGGTACTATTGTTAACCAATTGAGGAGCAAAAGTGTACTAGTTAGCTCTCATTATAATTGTTATTTCTTTAGTGTTAGTTATTGGGAGTAAAGTCGCGGAAGAACGTTGAACTAATAAGCAACTGTTCATTTATTACATATGATGGGAAATAAGCCGCCATCATGAGGTCACGGAGTTGGCTACGTTGTCTACTCAACAGAAGTATTTAATATGGTTGTACGAGAATATCTTGTTGTACTTTACAGTTTTATTTTTATTTTAAATGTTTAGATGTTACCTTGTAAATTCACTTTTTACCAAAGAAGTCAATGTATGTCAGAAGCATTCTTGTGAATACTTGCATAGTGATGATTTGTCATGTTTCCGAAGTTTGTTGATTTCGAAGTTCGCGTAGTAAGGATTTCTTCTTCTTTGCATTTTTGTGTTTTCCCCTCTCAAGTTTGGACTGTATTTATCCCGCAGTCTCATATTTTTTTTATATGTATTTATCCCGCAGTCTCATGTTTCCATATCATTGCATAAACAAAGAGTCTGTAATCCATGATATGTATTTTATATTTTTATTGCAGTACATCGAACAGGATCAGACCACTGGCATCACAAAGTTCCACCATTTTCTCCAAAGAATCCTTGAGTGCACTTTTCAGTTCACGGTCGTACAGCAATCCAAGACAGAGAAGAGGAGCTCGGCTTGTTGTTAGAGCTGACAGAGTAAGATATTTTATGATTTCTTATTTTCGATTATTGTCGCAAAGAACTCTTTGTCTACGTTCTTCCTCTCCAGAATAGTTTTTCCTTCCTTTCTTCTTGCATTAATTTATAGAAATAAACATTGACTACTTTTACCCGCAGGATTACTACTCTGTGCTTGGTGTATCTAAAACTTCGAGCAAAGCAGAGATCAAAAGTGGTAAGCATTAGCTTTGACTATAATTCTTTCATTAGCACTGGGTTTATTGAAAATCTTTGTATTGTTAAATTGCTAAATGCGTTACATGATATTTCGTTTCTAGTAGAACTCAATCAACAATAGCTTACCTGGCTATGCCAGTGAGCTTATGTGATCCCTTAGGTCTGACTTAGTCATCATGAAGAAATCTGATATGGCACTTTGGTTGTGCTTTCCTTACATCTTTTACATCTGCTTAATAACTGATTTTTCATTTTTCATTTGAGAGCCACCGATTAAATATTTTTTCCCCAGATCCATTTTTAACTGGATATCTTCTCTAGGGAATTTACGACTTGCTTCCTTTTTCTGAATAATTATTTATGCTAGCTGTATTTTTGGAATGTCACGTAGTTTATTTGAAGAGAACTTGAAGGGATTTTCCTTCTTTCCTTTATTCTTCCTAGCAATTAATATTTGTTGCCGCATTTGTTTAGTGTTTTCAAAATTTGGGGCTCTCTTAATTTTTCAACAAGAAATATTCTACTTATAGTCTATTTGATATGTGAACATATCTTCTTGATTCCCACTAGATGATAAACTGCAATCCCTGACCGGTGAATGTGATTTGTATTTGAATTTTGTTCTATTATTTTCCTTCTTCAGCATATCGGAAGCTTGCAAGGAGTTACCACCCAGATGTGAACAAGTAAGTCGTATATCTTCCAATTGCATTGCCTTCCGGCTACCATTTTGTTCTTTATTTGGTTGGTTGTTTGTTTAATAATATTTTTGTTACGCTTCATATTTTATCGAATTTCCTGGAGGAAGAATAATCATTGAAATAACTTGCAAGTGAAATATTAAAAGCGAAGCACCACAATTGCCTTCTTTACTTAGGAACTTGGTTGAGTAATTGCTGCTTAGAATTTATTTGACCCGAGATGGTCTATATACCGACTCATCCCCACCACCATATTTGGAAAGAACCTATAGTTTATTTACATAGTCTGTCAAATGAATTTCATGGATTACTATTCTGCTAAAAAAGAATCACGTAAAAAAAGAAAGAGTCTGCATGATTTTTAATGTGTGTTACTGAGAAAATGTGAAATATTACTGTATAATAGTTGTATGCCATCATTTAAATATCAACCACTTAAAAGTGTCGGTTTCTAAATACTTTTGCCTCAACTACAGAGAAGCTGGGGCAGAGGATAAATTCAAGGAGATTAGCAATGCTTACGAGGTAGAATAATTCCAATCCTTGGATAAATATATGCCTATAGTTTCATCATTAGCATCTGATAAAATTATTTTTGAACTGTGGAAACAGGTTTTATCAGATGACGAGAAACGTTCGATTTACGACAAGTATGGTGAGGCAGGTCTTAAAGGCGCTGGCATGGGCACAGGGGTAAGTCCTTTCTCCTACAATAGGAGACAAAAAGAATTTAAAAAAAATCTACATTCTAACTAGGGGTGGAAATTGGAAGGATTGATTGGAATTATTAGCACTTTCTGAAAAATCCAATTTCTATCAGAAGTGAAAAATTAATTCAATTCTGTTCCAAGAAAAATCGGAAAATTGGTTATCGGAAGGAGAAAAAAAAAAAAAAAAAAAACTTGCTCCAAATTGGAACTTTCCGGATTGGCAATGGCGGAATTCTGAAAATTCCAATTTTTAGTAGCCGAAAATAAAATGTGAAATACATAACAATTTTGACATTAGTTAATTTTCGGAAATTAAAAACGGATCGGAAATCAAAATCTCGTATACATTCCAATTTCAATCCAAAAAAAAAATAAAAAAAATCGGAATGAAAAATATTGTTCCAAAATCTGAAAATCCGGGTTGGAATTGGCGTAAATTGGAAATCAATTTTCCACCCCTAATTCTAACGCATGTTATTGAATATGCAGGATTTCAGCAACCCTTTCGATCTATTCGAGTCATTATTTGAAGGAATGGGTGGAATGGGTGGCATGGGGGGCATGGGGGGCAGAAGCTCTCGAAGCAGAGCTCAAGAAGGCGAAGACCAAGTCTATAACCTAGTCCTAAACTTTAAAGAAGCAGTTTTCGGTGTCGAAAAAGAAATCGAAATCGCCCGTCTCGAGAGCTGTAATACTTGCAATGGATCAGGGGCAAAACCGGGAACAAAGGCGTCAAAATGCACTACATGCGGCGGCCAAGGGCAAGTCGTCTCGTCAGCGCGGACCCCACTAGGCGTCTTCCAGCAGGTGATGACGTGTTCAGCCTGTGGTGGGTCCGGAGAGATATCCACTCCCTGCACGACATGTAGCGGCAGCGGGCGTGTCAGAAAGTCGAAACGGATAAGCTTGAAAGTCCCGGCAGGTGTTGACGCGGGGAGCCGTTTGAGAGTTCGTTCTGAAGGGAATGCGGGTACTAGGGGGGGGCCACCTGGGGACCTTTTTGTAATTATAGATGTTTTGGGGGACCCCGTTTTGAAAAGGGACGACACGAATATACTCTACACTTGTAAGGTTTCGTACATTGATGCGATACTGGGTACTACGGTGAAGGTGCCCACGGTGGATGGAACTGTTGACTTGAAGATTCCTTCGGGTACACAACCGGGGACCACTTTGGTGATGGCGAAAAAGGGGGTCCCGCTTTTAAATAAGAATAATATGAGGGGCGATCAGCTGGTTAAAGTGCAGGTCGAGATCCCGAAACGGTTGAGTGGTGAAGAGAAGAAGCTTATCGAGGAACTCGCTGACCTAAACAAGGCTAAGGCTCCCAACAGTAAGAGATGATGATAGCTGTGGGGATTATTTGCAGGCCTCGAAACTTTTTGAGGATTAATTTTGGTGATTTGTTGGAACATTTATACATATAATTGAGAAATAATATTATAGGGAGATACCTTTTGTATGGGAAGTGAATTATCTAGATGTATCTTTAATTTTTTTTCCCTATTTTTGACCGTTGTTTATCGTAGTAAGTATCGTGTAAGAACAAGTGTCGAAACTGCCAGCTGTTGCTGATTGATTCATTGTCATCGTCGGGGTGACGTCGCACTTTCGTTTTACCGATTTTGTGCTAATGTTTCTGCAATTTAAGCAAGGGGGTGTAAAATGTAGGGGCAGAAATGAATCGAGTCGAGCTGAATGAATGTTTGAGTTTTCATCGAGCTTGGCTTGATAAGAAATCGAGTCGAACTCGAACTCAAACGAGCTTTAGTCCTAATCGAATTTTGAAAAAAGTAAAAATAGTGCCATGGACCTAATTCTATCGAAGCCTATAAATAATTTTTATAATACTTAAAAGAGTTATGATTACGTTAAAGATGTGCTTAATTTTCTTTATCTTTACTATAATCTTTAGCCCCAACCCAACCTGGTGATCATGATTAGTAGAACTTCATTTAGGAGACCAAAAGCAAAAACTCATATATTAAATAATATTTTTTTAATTAAAAAATAAATAAATAGGATTTGCTTTTAGATTTTAATTAGATCTCCTTTTTGTGAGAATCCAGTTGGCACACGTGTGGTATCAATGATGTTACCACTAACACCCTATTGGCCTACGCAAAATGCAATCATTCTCTCCATCTTCGCTTAATTTTACTTAAACTAGTAATTGTACCCGTGCGATGCACGGGACAACAAATTGCATTGTTTTGATGTTGTAAGAATATAAACAAACGTTTAATGTATCGTATGATCAAAATTCTATTATAATCATTCATTAATAATTCATCAGTGGAACATTAATAAGTATACTACACACACACAAAAAAAAGCAAATAAATTTACTGTTGAATAATTTTCCAAATGAATTGAATCAGCTAATACCAGTAGATTGAAAATTTGAACCAGGAAAAAAATCATCAACTATCTCTTTCATGTTGAGCTTAAAAGTAATTAGATTTAATAACTTAGTTAACATAATCAAAACTAAACTATCGACAACATACTATCGTAAAAGGCCATCTATACATCTTGCATCGGAACTAAGCCCTTCTCCATTACCTCGTTTTAGTCCTGTTTTGCTACTGGAATTAACAATTGGAAAATTAAGAAACAAAAATAAATATAAACAATAAATTAAATATCGTATACAAACAATAAGTCTTGAAGGTCGACTTCCAATAGCTTGTGGCTTCGCCCATTTTTGGTTAATTATCTCAAATCATCATTTTCAATAACATGTCCAATAACATATAAAATGAAATAATTGTTATACATAAAATTTGAAATCTTTGGTATAAATTAATGAACCACATAATTTAACAAAATGAAATTACTAATAAGCCATGATGGAAAAAGATGTAAACTAATTATCACACAGTGAATAGGATGATGAAGAAGAAAATAAGAAAAAAAATCTAAAGTCGGGTTACCAAAATAAGAAGCCTTAGGTAGGTAAGAAATACAATTCAAATGTTGCAGACATTCTGTAAAACGATGTCACAAAATTCGCTAGAGATGAAAATCAGATTTATTTACCCTTTTTCGGTAAAAACCGAAAATCAGATTATTATAAATAATATTAGGAGATAAAAATTTGATGAAAATCGATAATAATATTTAAAATAATATTTAGGAGATAAAAAATTGATAAAAATTAAAAAAATAATATTTAGGAGATAAAAATCTGATAAAAATCGAAAATAAAATTTAAATTAATAGTTAGGAGATAAAAATTTGATAAAAACCGAAAATAATATTTAAAATAATGTTAATGAGATAAAAGTTGATAAAATACGTAAACAATAATTAGAATAATATTTAGGAGATAAAATATGATTAAAATCAAAAATATTATTTAAAATAATATTTAGGATAGTAAAATTTGATAAAAATCAAAATAATATTTAGGAGACAAAAAATCTGATAAAAATCGAAAATAATATTTAGGAGATAAAAAACTAATAAAAACATGATAAAACTCGAAACAAATATTTAAGATATTATTTAGGAGATATAAATTTGATAAAATTCGAAGATAATATTTAGGAGATAAAAATCTGCTAAAAGTTGAAAATTATATTTAAAATTATATTTTGGAGATATAGATTTGATAAATTTAAAAATAGTATTTATAATAATATTTAGAAGATAAAAATTTGATAAACATAAAAAATAATATTTACCAACCCTCATTAGGAGAGTTGGTACCTAGCCTTTACCAATAGGGTAACGGTCTAGGGTTCGAGTCCCCCCCACCCCTATTTTCCCCTTGTAATGGACTCGAATTTACTCAAAAAAAAAAAAAAAACATAAAAAATAATATTTAGGAGACAAAATCTGATAAAAATAAAAAATAATATTTAAAATTACAAATATGATACAATTCGAAAATAATATTTAAAATAATATTAAGAAAATAAAAATTTGATAAAAATTGAAAAAACAAATTACAAATATGACATTAGGGTTTCTTAGGGTTGCCCTAGCGTTTCTTTCTTTTATATATAAGATAAATATATATATATATATATATATTTTATCTACATTATTATTAAATAAATAAATGGAATATCCTTTTTATTTATTTATTATTATTATATAAACTTTCTGCGCGTATTCATGAGGGCTGTGCTTGTTGTGGGCCACCCGCTCGTGCGATCATGCGAGGTCAGGCCCATTAGGTTCAACCCAATTATAAAGTTGTTTTTGTGGGTCAAATACTAAAATAGTAAAAGTTAAGGGGGTTGAAGTAATATTTATCCAAAGTGCGTGGCAAAAGGAATGTCATAGATTATGATTATTTATTTAATACTCACCATTTAATTCTTTCTTCCTTGGTAATATTTGGTCGCTTATATTTAGAATTTTTAATTATTCATTTTTTTTTAATGTCCAATTAAAATGAGAAATATTTGGCTCTAATTTAGGTGGCGTTTGTAAATGTTTTTAAAATAACGGAAGTTAGTGATTATGAATTAATTTAACAATTAGTGTTTATTTTTAAAAACCGGGATTGTTCGTAAATTCCATGAAAAATAAACTTTCACCAACTTATTTTAGAGAATTTGCTTTTTTAAAGAGCTTATTTTAAGAGGCATTGAACCAAAAACTAGTACTGTAAACACTTCAAAAGTGATTCTGAACCAATTTTTTTTTTCAGAATCATTTTTCAAAGGCTTCTGCAAACACCACAACTTCGGAGAAGACTATTCATCCTCGATATTTTTCGAAAAAAAAGAAAAAAAAATCCCGAAAAATTAGTAGGACGAAATTCAAAAATCGATTATAAAAAAGTTAGTATGATATTTTGGTGAATAACATAGCAAATGGTGACCTCATGGAGACTTCAAAAGCTAACCTAACTTAACTTAACTAGGTCCCTTTCCTTCATGGCTAACCCAATCATTGCTCAAGAAACATTACACACCAATGTGCAAGAAACTAAGCCAAACTCTTAAAATAAGCACATATATATATATCACCCACCTATAGATACAACAATTCTATATCTAAAAAAAAAAGTAAAACATAATAATACATACACACACTAGTACTTCACTCATCTATTATATATATATATATACAAGGTCATTAAAACTTGTAAAAATCCTCCAAACATTATAGCAAAAAAATGGCTTCGGAGAAAGTCGAGACTGTAGTTGCCGGAAACTACGTCGAAATGGAAAGGGAAGGAGAAGAAGATCAAGAGGGAAAATCGAGCTCCACTAGGAGCAATTTATCGAAGATTTTCTGGCACGGTGGTTCCGTTTACGATGCATGGTTCAGCTGCGCTTCTAATCAGGTTCGTTACTTTTTTGCATTATATATATTGTTATTTGTTAGAACTAATAATTAACCAATACTACGTACGTCGTTTTCGATTAAATTATCATCGACCAGGTTGCGCAAGTGCTGCTTACGCTGCCGTATTCGTTCTCGCAACTCGGGATGGTGTCCGGGATTCTGTTTCAACTATTGTATGGATTGATGGGGAGCTGGACTGCTTATCTTATCAGTGTTCTTTATGTCGAGTATAGAACTAGGAAGGAGAGAGAGAAGGTCGATTTCAGAAACCACGTTATTCAGGTAATTATTTAATTTGAAATAATTACTCCCTCCGTTTCATATTAACTGTCGACTTTGAAGAAATTTACTAAATTACTGATTTTACAACTTTGCCCTTATTAATTCGCACAAACAAAAGAAGCAAGTAATTGAGAGAGATGGTATGATTGCAAAAGATTATCTAAAAGCATAAATTAATGATTCTGATCAATTAAATTGGTTTTAAGTGCTTATTTTCTAAAAGTTGGCGTTTGTTTTGCAAATCCGCTCAAAAAACAACTTAAATAAAAAAAAATACAAAAAAAAAAAAGCATGTCATGGGGTGCTTTTCGAAATTAACGCTTAAAAACGCTTATTTTAAGAGAAGCAAAATCAGCAAAAGTTGATTTTCGCAAACATCGAAAAACTGATTAATGTGTGTGTGTATTGTGTGTGGAGACAGTGGTTTGAAGTTCTAGATGGGCTATTAGGGAAGCACTGGAGAAACATTGGCCTCTTTTTCAACTGCACTTTTCTTCTCTTTGGATCTGTCATTCAGCTCATTGCATGTGCCAGGTATATCTATATATGCATATATATATATGCTTCTCTCTCTCTCTCTCTAGATCATCTTCTCTCTCTAAAAGAATGAATTAATGTAATTGAATGAATGCAGTAACATCTATTACATAAATGACAACCTGGACAAGAGAAGTTGGACATACATATTTGGAGCATGCTGTGCAACAACTGTGTTTATCCCATCTTTCCGCAACTACAGGATTTGGTCTTTTCTTGGCCTTATTATGACTACTTACACTGCTTGGTACCTCACCATTGCTTCCCTTCTCCACGGCCAGGTACATTTTATTTAATAATTAATTAATTATCTTCAATTAATTTAATCACAATCATCTCCTAATTAATTAATAATTAATAATTAAAGGTTGAAGGAGTTAAGCACTCTGGCCCAGCCAAAATGGTTCTCTACTTCACTGGGGCTACCAACATTCTTTACACATTTGGTGGCCATGCTGTCACTGTGTCAGTACTTTAAATTAATCTTAATTATGGCCTTAATCAAATTTAATTATCATAAAAAAAATTAATTTTTTTTTTTTTTTTGGGGCAGGGAAATAATGCATGCAATGTGGAAGCCACAGAAATTCAAGCTGATATACCTAATCGCGACGATTTACGTGCTTACACTAACGCTTCCGTCAGCCAGTGCCGTTTATTGGGCTTTCGGAGATTTATTGCTAAACAGATCCAACGCTTTAGCTTTGCTCCCAAGAACCGGATTTCGAGACGCTGCTGTAGTCCTCATGCTCATCCATCAGGTCCAAACCTCGACTGTGTTTTAGTGTTAACTACTTTGTCTGATCATTAATCGTGTTATTAAATAATATTACTGCGTCGTGCAGTTCATAACGTTTGGATTTGCGTGCACTCCGCTGTACTTTGTGTGGGAGAAATTCCTCGGCGTGCACGAAACGAAGAGCTTGCTAAAACGGGCGCTAACGAGATTGCCCGTGGTGATTCCGATTTGGTTCTTGGCTATAATTTTCCCATTCTTCGGGCCGATAAATTCGACAGTTGGATCACTTCTTGTTAGCTTCACAGTCTACATTATTCCTGCAATGGCACATATGATCACTTTTGCTTCTGCTTCAGCCAGAGAGGTATAGTATTTACAATATTTATACAAAACAAATTCAATAATTATTTCATTTAATTTGTTGTCAATTATTTCATTTCATTAAAAGCTATAGTGCCAAAAAGTACACTATAGATGGATACATAATTAAGTCACAATCTTTAATTTGGCTTAGCTTTTATCAGCACTTTGAATAATATGTTAGGCAAGATAATGAAATAGACAACACTCCCCACACATGAAAATAAAGTAAAAAAGAAGAAAAAAAGGTTAGGTTGTGAATATTGTCAAGGAGTGCCTTTTATTCCTTTTATTTATTTATTATTATTATTACTTTTTTTTAATAAATCATATTATTATTATTAACTTATCCATATTTTATTTTAATTTTTTTTTTGGTAATTATTTTGTACAGAATGCAGTGGAGAGGGCACCAAAAATAGTAGGAGGATGGGTTGGTTTGTACTCAATGAATATATTTGTAGTGGTATGGGTTTTTATTGTTGGATTTGGATTTGGAGGGTGGGCAAGTATGGTCAATTTTGTACACCAAATTGACACATTTGGTGTCTTCACCAAGTGTTATCAGTGCCCTAAGCATAAAGTTTGATTACATTATTATTATTATTACAAGAAAAATATTTAATTAATTAGGATATCAAGATTTATACATATGTAAGTGTGTAAAAATTAAGATTGGTTTTTTTTTTTTGTAATTTTTATTAATATTTTGTTTTTTGGTTTCTACTTTTCACTTAGTTGAAGGGTTTCTTCAACATGTGTGGCCATTAGTGTTTGTGATAACAAGTGTAATTCCCTTTCTTTTTGTGGGGTTTTTTTTCTTTATATATTTAATATTTTGATTATTATGATTTAATATCTATGTATATTGTTTTTATAGCAGTCAATCATTGTTGTATTAGTGTTCGACGATTTGCCTCAAAGAATTATGTGCATTGAACTTCATAATATTGATGCATGGGTTATTTCATTTTCAATCAAAATGTATAAAGTTATATATTATAGTTCTCTTTTAGGCCCCATAATTTCATGTCACGTAATTGGGTACCTACCTAACTAATTTGACGAGACTTATTGAGCTACTCTCGTTTCGACAATCATGTATCTGATTAAAGAATCTCAAGATGTCCCGCAGAAAATGATCTGGAGAGTCTGTGTTACGTGACCTAAATTCGAATCTCTTTACTAATAGTCGATAAATCGAGTTTGTCGATCACATGAGCAGTTTAGTTCACTATTTCTTACTCCACTATCAAAAAAACCATCCATCAATATATGATTGAATGAATCACTATTTCGTACATTCTACTACACTCATAACTCTCTCTCTCTCATACACACACACACTATCTAACATTTGGATTTGCATGATTATTGATTACACATAAGCTAATCCATTGAATCAAGTTATAAATCAGTTTAAATAATTAAGTACGTACACACATACCCCACCACACCTCCAACTCAAAAAACAAGAAAATAAAAATAGAGAGAAGAAAATAAAATAATTAATTTAATTTGTTGGATTTATTCAGATTGTAAGCATATGAATGAGGGAACCAAATCTTGATGAGGGTCGTGCAATCCCCAAGAACAGCACACATGGGGGCGTCGGCCTCCTTTTTCTGCAATTTTCTTTTTTCTTCTTTCACACATTGGACTTTCAAAATTAAATTAAATTAAATTTAAATAAATAAATCATGTGATGTGAGACTATTCAATTTTTTTTATGTTTATTTACTACAAGGACAAGAGACTAAGGACACAACTTTGAGTTAGCTTTTATGGCGATTTGTGCCAATTTCTCATTTGTTTATTATTTTTATTTTATTTTTTTATAATGAAGTTTCTCATTTGTTTATTATTATTAAATTTTTTTTTTATAATGAAGGAACCGATGCACTAGACTAGGCTAGATTTTTTTGTAATAACTTGTAAATCATACAAGAGATGTAAATTACACTAAGTTAACTATGTGTAACAAGCTCGACCTAACGACTGTTAATAAGGAGATTCGAACATGGATCAACTGACACAAACTAATATTATTTCTTGATTTATTACACTATGAAAAGAAAATTATTGTTAATTTTTAATAAATTGAGATTTGTATTAAACAAGAGTCTTGATGGGCCAAAATTGAAAAGATCCGACCCATTTCAATAAAGTATTTACATGTGATTGGGCCTCCAATAGAGGGCCATCGTCCCATATTCTAGAGCTGAATAAAGCTTACGTGACCAGTTTCTTTATTTTCCTTTTTCTTTATTATTTTATTTTTTTTATTTTCCTTTATTTTTAGCTTTATATATAATTGTTATATTTGCATGTGGAAATCTGCAGATTCAATGATATAGACTTAAAAAAAAGTTTTGGGACAAGCAATCGTTAGCCTCAGTCGTTATCGATATCCTTTAAGATTAAATTACGGTTACTTTTTGGGGTAACGGTAAATCACGGTCACTTATACGTTTATTATTGTAGTGTCAAATTTAATGGAATCTTATAGATTATATGAAATATTCTCTAGTTTGTAATCGTTTTACCCCTTTCGAACTCCACATTTTGAAACAAGATGATCATAAGATGTGTTTCGTGATTTGTAAATATCATAAATTGCATTTTGCCACAAAACGAGTACAAAATAGAGATTATTCCACGGGATTTAGAAGATTATGTTTAATTTGATAGTATAGAAGATTCATAATTGAGGTGTTGTTGTAATTACCCAAACTGGAGAGAATTTTTTCGTAATTCGACTTTACCTCAAGAGATGGCCGTAATTTACTCTTATTTTAATATATATATATATATATATATATATATATATATATATATATATATATATATATATATATATATATATATTAAAAATATTATTGTAAAAGTTTATCATCCTCGGCCCATTAAAGCTACGAGAATATTCTTCGGCCCATCTTTTCACAACCCATTTGTAAAATGGGTCAAACTACGTACGGACTGCCCATCAAAGCGCGACAACCTCATACGGATCGAAACTCAGTTTCAGCCCACCGCCCGATAGTCGTCGCCGGAGTCAACGACACCCACAAGGCCGGTCGTGGTCGCGATTGAAGAGAGCTCTGTTCTGTTAATTTTTCCCGGCAGAGAGATTGAACGGAATATTCGTTTTTGGGGGGTTTAAATAGAGCAAGGGTTTAAGCCATTTTCAAGCTGTGGAAAAAGGGTTTGTTAACTTCAAATTTTGAACAAAGCTATCAGAACGAGCTATGGTTTTCGGTCAGGTGGTTATTGGACCGCCGGGCTCCGGCAAGACGACCTACTGCAACGGCATGTCTCAATTTCTCCGGCTAATCGGCCGGTACCTTTTTCTGAACCTTATACACTGTATATTTCAATTTTGGAGTTAAATAGATACAGTTTTTTGAGTTAATTGCAATCAGTATAAGTTTTCGTTGTTAATTTGATTGCAGGAAGGTTGCAGTGATCAATATGGATCCAGCAAACGATTCTTTGCCGTATCCGATCTTTTTACTTCATTTTCGTTGTGATTGAAATTTAGCATGTTGTTTTGAATGCGTTCCGATTTTTTCGTGTATTGGGATATTAGAAGAGTTATTTCCTTATATGCGATACAGATACGAATGTGCTGTAAACATCGAGGATTTAATTAAGCTCAGTGATGTCATGGCCGAGCACTCGCTTGGTCCTAACGGAGGTATCTCGCCACTTAATATTATGCTGAAATTTACTTCAACTACCTAAACGAACCCCTAGATTTTGAGTGAAGTTAACTGACTCTCGTTTTTCTGTGAATTCTATCGTGTGTTTCTTACAGGTCTTGTTTATTGCATGGATTATTTGGAGAAGAACATCGACTGGTTAGAATCCAAACTGAAGCCTCTTCTCAAAGGTTGCTATCGTATTTAAATTTCCGTTAGTTCTGCTTTTTATGTATTTGACATATTACGCATCCGACGTATTCTCGGCTTATTCGTTGGTTTAGTAGTTAGTGCTCTTTGTATATGGTGATTCGATGACTTACGTAACTGTGAATTGAGCCTTACGCTTGTTCTTGAGTTGAGTCTGTTCGGTACTTCTTATGCCACTGCTAGCAATAATATTTTATTTATTATTATCGATAACACTGTTCGCTAATGGAATCCGATCCGCATCGTTTGCAGATCACTATCTCCTCTTCGATTTCCCTGGCCAAGTGGAACTCTTTTTCCTCCACGAAAATGCAAAGGGAGTGATCATGAAACTCGTAAAGAAATTAAATCTCAGGGTACATTTTGCATCTCTCTACTTACTTCTTTTACAACGAAATTCTTTTCGAACTGTGTCCGAAATAAGGGAATTATTATTTTGACAATTATGGAACCTTAAATAAAACGAGAGACTTATCGTGTCCCTTCTCTCTGCAGTTGACAGCTGTGCACTTAGTCGATGCACATCTTTGCAGTGATCCGGGGAAGTACGTGAGTGCGTTGCTCCTTTCTTTGTCAACCATGCTACATATGGAGCTCCCTCATGTCAATGTTTTGTCGAAGATTGATTTGATCGAAAGCTATGGGAAACTAGGTTAGAGCATTTATATGTCGATATTTGTGGATTCGTTTGTTCTTAATTTTTGTATCATTTTCCAATTTTTTTTGCAGCTTTCAACCTTGACTTCTACACGGATGTACAAGATTTAAACTATTTACAACATCATCTTGGACAGGATCCTCGATATGCAAAGTATAGGTAAGTCATGATTATCGTATTCTTTCATGAAATGAAGCCATCAATAGCTTTTCGTCCTAATATTGCATGTAGGGATGGAAATAGGAACGAAATTTCGATTTTGGAACAATATTTTTCATTTTAAATTCTGAAATTTTGATTTCCGATTTTTCCGATTTTTTTTTTTGGATTGGAATTGGATAAAATACGAGATTCCAATTTCCGATCAGATATGAGTTTTAAAAAAATCTGATTTTTCCCGAAAACTACACTTGTAATATCAAAATTTATTATGAATTTCATGTGACTGTAAAATTGGAATTTTTCGAATTCCACCGATTCCGGTCCGAAAAATTCTGATGTTGGAACAAGTTTTTTCAATCTAGTTTCTGAAATTCCGATTTCCGAATTTTCGGATTTTCTTCGGATCGAAATTAGAATTTGTTTTTCATTTTTGAAAAAAAAAATTGGATTTTTTTCGAAAGTACTAATTCCGATCAGATCCGTCCGATTTCCACCCCTTCTTGCATGAAATAAAGCCATAATTAATTCAGGGCCAAAAGATATTAAATACAAAGACAGAGTCCTTTAAACTAGTTAGTTTAAAGTGTTATTTAATTCCGAACACACATAGCCCTTTAATTATCTTAGGCTCTTTACATATTGGCTGGAGAAAATCATCCAACCAGATTTTGCAATCTCGTCCGACATATATAATACGATGCAGAGTGAACAAAATATAGTATGCAGTATGTACTGGTACATTTCATATCTGTTATTAGTATTTGCCATGTAGATTCTCCTAGGGTTTGTGCCAAGAGTATGTATATTCAAAAGAGTTCCATTATTCGTCGCAAATTGTTCTTTCCACAATTTTCTTCCAATAAATCTGTTTCCATCTTCTAAATATACATGCAAAGATGCTTGTAAAGATTCCAATCAGTTTACTATTTCCATGCAGAAAGCTGACGAAGGAGCTTTGCGAGGTGATAGATAATTACGGGCTTGTCAATTTTAGTACTTTGGACATTCAGGTACATTCAAATTTCTACACGGTGTAATAATTGAGTACATAATGATTATGTTTCGCCTAGTTCTTACACCTTCGTTTTTTCAGGACAAAGAGAGTGTCGGGACTCTAGTTAAGCTAATCGACAAGAGCAATGGGTATATATTTGCGGGCATTGATGCAAGTGCAGTTGAGTTCAGCAAAATTGCAGTCGGCGCTGTTGATTGGGATTATTACAGATATCCTTTTTAGTGTTTGGATCGCCGTGTTTATTTTCGTCTAGTCCAATATGCTTTTGCAAATTTTAAATAGCTATAACAATTAGTATGCATACTTTACGGATTTGAGTACTGCTTAATCCGAATTTAATTGTATTTCCTTGACATAGATAGTGATTACAGTTGCAGCCGTGCAGGAGAAGTACATGAAGGACGAAGACGAGGATTTTGATGACAAGTGAGATGGAGTTTATAATGAGGATTGTTTTTAATTCTTGATTAGTTTTTTTTTTTTTTTTTGTTTAATTAATTTTATCGTTTCTAAAGAGTTTCTTGATTAACTATTTACCATGAATGTGTGGACCCAGGATTGTATGATATGGGAGTTGTATTGTAGACACACACACATACACAGGTGATCTCCCGAAAAAGGAAAAAAAATAGTAACAAAATTTTAATTTTGATTTTTTATGTTCTTGTGTCAGGTTGAAGTTTAGTATCCCTTTGATTGAATTTTATAAAACATAATTTTTATTAATTTGCAAAACTTGTAAATCAGTAAAATCGAATTGTGAATCAGTGAGATTTAATAGATTTTTTAATGTTTTAAAATTTATTCAAAAATTTGAATTGATTAAGGAATACTTGAATGAAATAAAATCGTAAGATTTTAATAATCATGATCATAATATTTTGAAATAGATTATTTCCTATTTATATTTAACATGTATATTACATAATCAAATATTCTTATTAATTCAATAATAAACTATATAATATTGATTTTTTTTACTAATATTAAAAAAAAAAATCAAAATACCCGGTTCGACCCTCCTCGAGGGGAATCTGACTTGACCGTTCCAAACTAGTGCACATGTATAGTGTATAGAGTGTGAAGTGTTTATAGAACAATGTTTAGATCATTTTAGAACACTTCTATATTCTTAGGACTTTATATGATTTCTTTAGATAATTTATATTCACCATATGATCAAAGAAATAGTGATGGTTTTACTTCGTATAAATAGGCATTACGATTGAACCTTAAATTCAAGTTTAAATTCAAGTTTAGGACTTCTAACTCTAAATATCTATATATATCATTGGTCTTCTGATAAGGAGGACGTGATATCGGTTTTTGGGTCGAAGAATCTTGAAAAAATGATCCGAAATGTCCTACCCAGAGATGGAAAAAAAGTTTGAAAGTACACCCATTACGGTTAGAACATCGGATCTACGAAACTACATTGAATATTGTGCTATACTATTTTGATTAGTACAAACAGTATTTTTTTTCTACCCATTACTGTTAGAACATAGGATCTACGAAACTACATTGAATATTTTGCTATACTATTTTGATTAGTACAAACAGTATTTTTTTTCTGTGTATACTATGAATTTTTCAAGTAACAATCAACCAGAGGAGGGACTAGGGAGGTAGTCATCTACAAAAGGCAATTATTCTGTCCATCCGGCACAATTAAAATGCAATTTATAATTCTTATTAATTATATTGTGGCAATTTGACATTTCATATTTACAATTCATCATATATATATATATATATATATATATATATATATATATATATATATATATATATATATATATATATATATATAATATATTAAATAACTTTGTTCAATCTTACAAATAGTCACAAGAACTAACTGAAAAAACAATATTTACAAACAAAATCGTGTACCTATATAATCAAGCAAAAATCATACAATCGTCTTCCGTTCGTCCCCAATTATCATCTTCAATATGGGCAGTCGTATGATATTGAATAACAACTAGCGCAGCCTCGGAAATAGCTTTTCCTTGTAATCGTGCGTGAATTGTTCGACGCATCTCTTCACTCCATGGAGTTTCGAATCGACTCCTCCTCCTGGCAGATCCCGTGTACTTCTTCAAACACCTACTTATGACCATCTTCTCTAGGCACGTTGCACTTTTGAGGATGTAAGACGCAAATTCGATTTCGTTTTCTGTCCCGACAAATCCACTAATTTCCATTTTCTTCAACTCGGAGTGGATTATTACTTCCTCTTGTTTCTTCACCTCTGGTCCAATAATATCCACAAAATTTGTCTACAACCAAAAAACCAAAGGAAATCCATCTTTTAATCATTTACGAGAAACGTCAACAAAAAATTATTTAAAAGTAATAATAAAGAAAATCGAAGAAATTGTCTTGAAAAGACTTACATTCAAGTGAAATTCCTGTAGGAGGGGACAACTGCGCAAAAACGAAGTCAGCAAAAGAAGATCAATTTGCGATCCCGAGTATAGGCTGAGATCTAATCGCCTAAGGTTGTTGAACATGTTAATCCCCATAGATTTAACGCTTCCCTAATAATCAAGAAGCTCAAATTCAAGAAAAAATCATATAGCAAAAAATTGCACAATCGAGAAATCGACAAATAGAAAAATAGACGACCCTTCCAATACCTGAAAATGATCGCCTCTAGCAACAAAAGTCAATGATTTCAGACGAGGCAAATCTTTTGCAAGTCGCGAACAAGCGTAAGGCACGTTATTTTCCTTAAATGTATAAAGAGATATACTCTGCAGCTGAGGAACGTGCTCGAATATAAAGTCAACCATTTCACGACCAGAAAACTCGAATAAGACGAGACTACTAGCATCAAACTCTATCCTATTTACACCTTTACAATTGTTGATACATAGAGACTTCAATTGGAGATTTGGACCCTTGAAGCATAACTTTGAAGGACATTTGCAATTACCGATTCGTAAAGATCGGAGCACCAAACAATTGGAGAAAATCGACTCAATAGTACCATCCTTTATTTTAACGTGCGAAAGCGAAATAATTTGGAGGGAGCTGTATTGGGTGTTCGAGATTGGAACCAACGTGCACAAGCTCAATTTCAAATATTGCAAGGAGGTTATTTGAGAAAGATTGTAAACCGAGATTTCAACAACGCTCGCTCGCAAATAACAACCACAGCTTAGAGCAAGTTTTTCGACCCGCAAAGTACAAAAGAACTCCTTCAATTGATCAGGGGTTACTTTATAAAAACAACACGATAAATGGAAATAACGGATCGTAGAACTGAAACGAAGCCTCAAAAATCTAATAGCTGAAACAATGACTAAGTTAGTGTCGTGAAATTTATCTTCGTCAAAATACACTGTAAATTTAGGAGGCCTGTGACGATCATAACGACTTCCTAAAAGGTCACGACACTCCAATTTAACGGTCGACACGTATCTGTAAAGGTTCCACCACCTGTTCGACAAAATGCTCGTCCTGATACCACATTTTACCGGCAAATGTGAGATAATCGAAACCAAGATATCGTCTGGGAGTTTGCTAATGATGTCCTTCTTACCTGCTGCGCCGAAATAAATTTAATAAATATTTGTATTACCAATTCAAAGAAAGAAAGTTGATAATACATACATTGAGAAGATGGTTTCTTCTTGAAACTTCCATGGCGAAGATACCCTTTTGAATATAGAAAGAAAGCAGCAATTGCTGCAGCAGATAGAGTTAGCAGTGACAAAGCTACTTTTTTAGAACAAATCATCGGTTCCTGCTCGAAGAACAACAAACAACTGCGCAAATAGGATCAGAAAACTAATAATTCACAAATAAAATAAAAAGGAGAAATTACCGAACCTGATCGGACAAACAACCCTAATTCTATATATATATATTTTTTTTTTAATTTTGGTTTTAGGGAAAGAACCCTAATTCGATTTTCTTAAAACAGAAATTTGTGGATTTCTTACATTATGCAATTTCTAAAACATAAGGGGCTTATATGTAGTTAACTCTTACCTCAGGGAGGTAGTTGTAATTTACCCTTTTACATAACACTGTTGACCAAGCGGTTAGATTCTGGGCCATTTTGAATTTCTTCGAAAGCAAGTTGGTTCATTGTAGTAGAACGGCCCGAACGCATCATCGGGCCCATTTAAGGCTCTATATTTGCACATCATCGGGCCCATTTGCACATTTATATTATTATTTTATTTCTAACATTTTCTATTTTTTTTAATGCATACTGTAACTATTTTATTCTTGGGGTAACTAATTTTCTGCATAACAGAATTTATAATTAATAATAATACTCAAATATATATTCACACACACTGTACGTACGTACGACCCAACCCTCAATTTATTGGGGATGAAAGTTAGGAAACAAATAGAGGTTTGAAATATTATTTCAATATTTTGAGTTTTCAATCTATCGAATTTATATCTCTTCCAGAATTTTACTTTTCTCGATGTGCTTTACCTAGTCGACTTTGTACATCATTTTATATTTAGAATAGATGCGCGTAAAGTCTAGAGTGTTTCTAAAACACTGTCTAAAGTGTTTCTAGAACAATTGCGACTTTTTATTTTAAATATCTAGATATAATTTTTTTTTAATTATTATTTATGATCACCGTACGATCAGATCAATGAAATAGGAATAATTTTAGTATAAATAACTAGCCCTATGATTAGAACTACTTATTAAAACTCGAAATGCGTTTCTCAAATGAGAACTAGTATTACAAAAAAATAAAAAAATTGAAGTTTTCAGATTGTATGTCTCTAAATATGTAATCGCGATACAAAATTTGTGGATAATTCGAATCAAATGAAAGGTTTCTTGGGCTAGCGTTATAATGCCCGCAGTCAAAGATAAGAAGAAAGAAGAGGAAGGCAAAACGAAAGATAAAATTGATGATTATTTTCTTAGTATTTTGGGGTTTTTTAATTATTTGTATGTTATTTACACAATATTATTTGATCATCTTCAACAATTTAATGTATGCTATTTTCAATTATGTTTGTTAAATTATGATTACTATTTTCGGCTATTTTGGCTGATGTCCATTGTAAAATAAGATGTAACAGAAAAATTGATATGGATATTTCGAATCTCAATAACTAGGTATTTTTTTGTTTCGAGTTTTTTGCCTTTATTCCAAATTATGGTGTGCAGTTTTTCTCCGTCTTCGACTAACTTATTATTGTTTTTTTTTCTTCCAAATTCGGATGTGCATTTTTTCTTCTTCTTCGACCAACTTAATTTTGTAAATGTATGATGTTATAACTTCTTGATGAATTGGTGCGTAGGGGTACGTGAAAAATGTTTAAGTCATTATTTTTTATGACGAATGTGAGAGTAAGTTGAAATAAGTTTTGTGTATACAATTAATGAATATAATCGTTTTATTTAAAATTTTGTTTTACCAAGTTTTCATCCATTTTCGCTTATGGAAATGGAAACTTGGAGGTAGTCTCCATCGATCAAGGAATAAAACAAAATGTAAAAACAGATAATATCAATGAGTAGAAGTTAAAACAACAACTCCTCTAATTAAATAATTTCAAAATTAAATAAATAAATTTAATTTATTGTGCTTAATTATATACACAATGAATTTAGTCTATCAATCCAGCTAAAAAAAATGCCCTTTGACAAAAAAATGTTTGTCAATGATCTTATTTTGCTTTCTTTGGAGAACTTTTGGCTATAGATTCAACAATGCCCTCCACTTGATCTTCAGCTTCCTGAACCTGCATGCATAAATAATTACATATTATTATTATTATTATTATTATTATTATTATTATTATTATTATTATTATTATTATTATTATTATTATTATTATTATTATTATTAACTGATTTTGCATAAATTACTTTGCAAAAACTAATGCAAAATTTCAGTACCCTTGAATTAAAGTAACAAAGAACATTTGAAATAAAAGGGCTAAATAGTTGATGGTTTTCACAAAATTAATCCATAATTAACCTAATTGTTTATGACTAATATTAAATTATTATATGAAATCTTGAGAAAATAATGGCATTGGTCAGAGCTGTACATTATTGATTATTTTTTAATATTTTAAATAACAAGAAGCACATGATCCACTTGCTAATAGCTGGCCGGCGGCTCACGCCATTAATTATTTTCAAATTACTTTTATTTAATTACAAGAAAACCAGCAGCCGTGACACGTCATTTTATTATAATTTTTTTTCGAAATTTTTTCACATTTATTAGTTTTCTTAACACGTTGAATTAGTCTGTAACGACAGTTAAAATGAAAAGGAGAAAGTAGTAATTTACCTTGTCGATGAGATCATCGAGACAATCGGCGGTCTTAGCTGCTTTCTCGGCCGTGTGTTCGACGAGCTCCACGAGATCTCTGAGCTTCCCTTGCGGAAGATCGTCGGCGATGTCCTCGGCGATCTTGTCGACTTCCTCCGCCACTTTCTCCACCGCCTCCACTATGTGCTCCACCGTTTCCACCGCCGTCTCAATCCTATCTGCACACACCAACAATTATCAATTAATTTCATGCAAACAGTAACATTATTACGTTGACCACGGAAAAAAAAGTCAACAAAACACTTACTTTTGAGCACCCATAGTGGGCCCCACTTGTTTGTGAAAAATGGCAAGATAAGTGATACCACTAATCCAAGAACCCAGCTCCTGTTTCCAAAAAATAAAAAAACATAATTAATTAGTTAATTAGCAATATATATGTATGTATATAATTATTATATATATTGATAAATAATTATAAAATTAGGGTTTTCTTACATGGGCTTGGATGGTGGTCCAGAAGGCAATGGTGCTCCTGGTAAACTACTTGCATACACAACAAAAGAGTTCCTGCAAAATAAAATTAAAAAAAAAAACATAATTATTTCCATTTTTAATTTACACCTTTTTCACACATTGTTTACACACACTAGCTAGTTAAAATTCATGAGCATATATGAATATATATATATATACCTTTTAGTTTTGTGATTATCACAATATTGAACAACTCTAGTTTGCTTGAGCAAGAAACCGATTTCGTTTGCGAAAGCCAGCTTCGAAATGGGATTCCACGACAACTTAGAATGAGACGATCTCGGATTAGGGTTCGCGTAAAAACCGGCCGATTTGTGACCTACGATCATCATAGAACTTGCCATCGATGTATATATATTATATAATAAAACTTGTGTAAGTAATTAACCAAATATTTTTCAGATAAACCGAAACTATGCTTCAAACACCTCTTGATCGTTACTGTATATTAGAAAATATTTTCTTGTGGATATGTTAATGACTTTATAGAAGTACTTTGCTCTTTATTTATAGGAATTAATGTACAAGAAATATTGGAAGGATTGTATTTTTTTAATATTTTTAAATAAAAAGGATGAGTAGTAGTTGGTAGGGTTGTTTCTTATATTGTCGTTTGTCAACCAGTGACCGTTGAAATATTGAATGTTAGGCTGTTTTTGAGGTTGTAATAAATTGAAAATTATAAGCATAGGTTAATTAATTAATTAATTAAATAAAGCACATGGGGGTTGAAACAGTCAATTTTGCCAACCTGGTCCACATGGTCTTTGTACAAGCTACCCCATAATTTAATGACATTTATTTATTTTATTTTATTTCTATTTCGTTTTCTTGTTTTTGCAGTGCAAGAAAAGAAAATTCAGACGCGTGGTGCTCACTCGCTTTGTTTGGTGGGTTCTATTTAATTTCTTGGAAGTATCGTGGAAATTATTCAAGGCAAAATCATCATTTTTAATGTGTTGAATTAATGTACATTCAATCAAGAGATTTGAAAAGAAAATAAAAACAATCATGCGTATGTACATATGATTTATAGTGAGACCTTACTCGTTGAAATTTATCAAATATTAAAAAGAAAAACATGTCATGTACAAATGTGAAATTCGTGATCAACAACGACGAACTGTACAAGATGCTAGAAAATTTTCGAAAATTAAAGCGTGTTCATCCAATGATACTCCACTCATTTCAAATTAACTGTAATTTTTTGAGAATTTTTTCAACGCCTCCCGAATCTTATCAATTATTAATTCCCATAATAAATGGAAAGACTAATTCATTAAAATAAAATTACTTATAATAATAATAACTTAGTCCTATCACGGTACTCGTAAGATTCCAGCTATTTTGCGTATTTTAGATAATTAAAATTGTTGTATAATAAAAGATAATTCGATTAAACACTGAATTGGGGAAGAAGAAAGACTTAGAGAGAGAAATAAAATAAATTAAGAGAAAGAGTTGAAATAATTTTGTGCCTACACTCAGTGTAAAAAACGAGATTTTTCATAAACAGTTAAACCTTTTTTAAATTAATACAGTCGGGACTAACAAAATTCTATTAATTTAGCAAAATATTAAATTATCAAACTAATAATTTAATATGTTTTCTACCGAGTTGGGACCGTAAAAAATTATTATTTAAGCAAGATTATTAATTTATCGAATATTAATTTATGGATGATCTAGTTTAATAGACTAGAAAATGAAAACTAATAAATTATAGTTTAATAGACTAGAAAATGAAAACTAATAATTATTTATTATTTGCTAAACAAATAATAAAAAGATAAATGGGCTTAGTTTATTAATTTTAGTTGGGCTTCCTCCATTAGCCGGCCAATAAATTCTGCAGCGTGAGCCTAATCCCAAAACGACGTCGTAACAAGTAGTCTTCTGTTCATCTTCTCCAAAGCTGCAATCTTGAACGCCATAGCCACCTTTTCTCCCAAATCTCCGCCGCCTACGTCGCCATTGCCTCCACCGGGACTGCCGTGGTTCATGACAGTAATCTCTCTCTCTCTCTCTCTCTCTCTCTCTCTGTATGATTACTACCGTTAGCTCGCCTGAAAAATGTTTTCCAACGTACGGCGATCATTTTTCCATAATTAATTTTTTTAAAGTGTTTTTTTATGTGAATTTAGGGGGGCCCCTTTAACTTTCCAGGTTTATTTGAACTAATGGGCATATATTATTTTGAGCGTGATGGTAACTGATTGGATGGTTGATTGGTGTCTGTGTAGTTTTTGTTCTCTCTCTCAACTCAATTTGCTATGTTTTTTTACACTTGGATTGGCATTTTGTAACAAATTCAATGGAGGTGACTGAGAAGCATACTAATTATATTTTACTTTACACTCAATTTGAATGAATTTTTCTTCTTCTAACTTATAGGTTTCGATTTAACTAAAAAATGATTATGGATCATAATAATCAAAAACCGAAATCTAGACGAAGTGGTCCTTTCGGTCGGTTGAATAATGTAGTTCTTATTCAAGGGGAGGATCTATTTCAACCTTCTACGATTATTTCTTTCGACGGAGTTATTGAAGCCGAAGAAAAGAAGATTGTGAGTTGTTCTTTATCCCTGGCTTCCCCCATCTTTCGTAATGTGATAGTTCTGTGTGTGTGTGTGTGTGTGTGTATTTTACTGATAGTTATTCATACCGGACGATAATATCGACTCTTTCAGGTCGGTTCATTTTAATGGGTTGATTAGGCGTTGTATTCAAAGGAGACATTTCGAAAGTTTCCGATGAATTAGCCGTTGGGCTGACAACAGGTTTCCTTGGAATCTTTACAAGTGGTTGGAATCAGAAGATACTCGACCGAAGTGTTTGAAGGCCATTGGATCTTCGCTGTGCTCGGTATCTAGATACGTAATATTGCAAGTTAAAATATTCTAAGCTCACGATCGAGATTATTGTGGTCAAATGTATGTGTAAAATTGTTTATTTTCTGTCTCTTAGCAGGCTTCGTTTTTGTTGCCTTTTCAATCATTTTCGGGATTGTACCTGCAAAGGGGTTCAAAGGGCTTCTCATAAGATTGAATATAAACTAAAATATTGCTCGTGCTCGTCTATTCTGGGGTATATTCGGAAGTTTTGAGGTGAAAGAATTAGAAATGGTGGCGCTAAACCCCAGTTGTTTTTAGCTTGTCTAGTTGGACCTTTTTGTGTTTGGATTAGGTTTTTTTCAGCCCGTTTTAACGGACGTGGTTTAGGCAAAAACGTGGCAGTATAATGGATGCCATTTGGACTCTTGCTGCAAATGTTCTTGCAGCTTGTGTAATGGCTGCACTCGCCACATTCAAGAAAGCGGTAATAACTACGGAAAATATTATTAATCCCTCCAAAATAACATGGTTTTATTTTATACTACATAAATCACACCGAGTCCCCTTTCCATTTTGTCTTTGCAGGTTAGAACGACGAATTTGGGCTACTCGGGTGTTTAAGTACCGTCTCTACTTTCGTCGCTGAGTTACATGCAAAATACGAGAGCAAGCATCCATGGAGGGATTGTGCTTATGCAGCAACCACGTTTTCTATCTCGTTTATTTTGGGAACGCTTATAGTGCCCGTTTGGGTAAAGGGACTATGACTAGAAATTGACGACGTGGGATTCGGTAATTTGCTTCTCTTCTGAGTTGCGCTGAAATGATATACGATTCGAAAAATAGAATCTTGACAAAGTCCCAAGATTTTTCCGGACGTTGATAAATACATCTTGTTGGAAAAAACGACATTGCCGTTGGGATCATTAAAAGAGTAAGTTGATCTTTCGTTTTGTTCATACAATAGTAATTAATTCTTTGTTTTTTTGATTTATTTAGAGCATAAAAGTAGATACTAAATTATTAATCAGTAGCAGATGATCAAAGAGTAGGCTATTGAAATTCTTGATTCATTCACAGGGAATAAACACAATCTCAAGCTCCGGTTGTGGCTCCAAAAAAGAACTGGCAAAACATCCTCGTACAGTACACATCCTCGTACATTTTTATCATAAATTCTATGTACTTGGTTAGAGTTGATGATGTTGTATTGTTTTTGTGCTAAAACATCAATTGAAATTGATGAAAAAATTGTTATATAAAGTGTTTTTTTTTTTTGGTGTGCATAAATACATACATACATGTGGAATAATATTATATAGGGTAAATTACAAACACCCCCCGAGGTATGGTCAAATTACAAAAATCCCCCTCTTGTTTGGATAATTACATTTACCTCCCTCAACTATGATATTTTCTTACACCTCCACCCTCATGGTGCCAAATTCAACATAATCATCTAGATTCCGTGGAATGTGCTCTAGTTTGTACTCGTTTTGTGTAAAAATATAGTTTTCGATGCACCACAAACTGATATATACAAGCTAAAAATCACATATTATGATCATCTTGTTTCATAATGTAGATTTTGAATGGGATAAAACGGGTACATAAGTGATAATATTCCATATAATCTCGAAGATTCTACTAAATTTGAGGAGTTGAGGGTGGTTGTAATTATCCAAACAAGAGGGGTGTTTTTGTAATTTGACCATACCTCGGGGTGTTTGTAATTTACCCTATTATATATGAAATTGTGTCTAAAAAGAAAGAAAAAAAGAATATATATAAAAAAAAGGGTATTTTAATTATTTATTATTAATTAGTCAACTCTCTCTCTCTCTCATGAGACATGAATAAATGATGAAATCAAAAACGTCAAAGTCTAAGCCATGGCACAGAAATGGCTGCCACCCATTTCAAGGTGAATCATAAATTAATAACAGCCCACCGTTTTGCATAATACGGTGCCGTATTTCACATTTCTATGCACATACGATCAGGTATTATTCTCTACAATATTACCCCTCTGCTTTTCATTCTCCATTCAAATTCCGAAACTGGGTTTTATCACTCCTTCACGGTACTCTCTCTCTCTCTCTCTCTCTCTCTCTCTCTCTCTCTCTCTCTCTTGTTTCATAATTAATGTCTTAAAGTACTTGAAAAGGGGGTATTTTAAAAAAGAAGGCTTTTTTATGTGAGTTTTTGGGACCCTTTAAAAGTTTCCATCTACTGACTGTTTGATTGGTTGTGTTGTGCTTTCTTCGATGTACTTTATGTAATCTATTGATTTTATTGAAATCAAGAACCGTGTTTTTGTGGTTCTCTCTCTCTCTCTCTCTCTCTCTCTCTTGCCTTTTGAAAAGTCTATCACGGGACTCTCACTATGGTGGGGTGGGGTCCACATTTCCATGGTTATATATATGGTCAACAAAGTTATTGTGCCAAGAAATAACAGCTCAATTTGTTTATGTTTGTCTCTGGCTAATGTGGTGGATTAGTAGTAAATTTAAATTCTTTAAATATATATATATATTGGCATCTTCCAATAAATTGAGCTGCTACATTCAATAATGGAGTTGGTAAATTATAGAGCTTAATTGAAATGAAATGTTCTTTTTTTTTTCTTTTTTTTCTAACTTATAGGTTTCAATTTAAACCAAGGCAAAAAAAAAAGGGATTATTATGGATCATCAAAATCAGGAATTAGAATCTAAATCAAGAAGCAGCTCTTTCCGTCGATTGAGTGGGGTCGGTTCTTCGAGAAGGCACTCTTTCGGTTTATTAACGGCGAAAAATGATGATAATGATGATGATGTCATCGAAACCGAAAGTGTTTCCGAAGCAGGGGATATTGGAGACAGAGCACTTAACAGTAGCAGGGCTAGTATAAGCGGCAGGAGTCACTTCTCGTTGGATAATGTAGTTCCTATTCGAGGCGACGATTCTTTTCACGCAGTTATTGAATCTCAAGTGGAAAAAAATGTGAGTTTGTTCGTTGCCCTTCATGCATGTTCGTTTTTTTATTTTTTATTTATTGTGATTTTTATTTTGTTTGCAGGACGAGAAAGAAGTGCCTTGGCTGTTGGAATACGTTACTTGTTTGCTTTCTCTTGCCGTATTTGGAATTCTAGGGGTAATCTTTGGAACATTTCGATGCTATATAAATGCAACATTTATTTTATAGTCAACCTATCGTTGCAAAAACCTGGTGTCGTAATATAATAATTATATGTTGGAAAAACGATTAAGGTAACTCTTTTTTCCTTCGTATTGCTGATTCGACAGTCATAGACATAGTTACAGCCGAAAACGGGACTGGCTGAAAATTTTGAGAATTTTCCTATGAGATGCCTATTTTATGTTATGTTTTATATGATCACTTCGGTAAAAATCTTTTTTTTTTCGCTTTTTATTCGTATGATATATTGACCAGGTTTTAGCTAGATATTGCCTTCAAAAACTCTTTGGACCCGGTGTAATTGGTGCAACAAGTGACCAGAACTACATGTACCTCGATCTTCCTTCGAATATGGTTCCTCTCTCTCTCTCTCTCTCTCTCTCTCTCTGTCTGTCTGTCAGTGTGTGTGTGTTTATGTATCATACTGATAGTTATTTATACGGGACGATAAAATCGACTCTTTCAGGTCGGTTCATTTTTAATGGGCTGGTTAGGCGTTGTATTCAAAGGCGACATTTCGAAAGTTTCCAATCAATTAGCCATCGGCCTAACGACAGGTTTCCTAGGAAGCCTAACAACTTTCAGCGGTTGGAATCAAAAGATGCTCGACCTAAGTGCCAAAGGCGAATGGGCCTTTGCTGTACTCGGTATCTTTATCGGTAATATTTGCATGTTAAAAATATTCAAATCCCACGATCAAAGATATATTATTGTCGTCAATGCATATATATATAACTGTTTAATTTTCCGTTTCTTAACAGGCTTCTTTTTAGTTGCCTTTTCAATCATTTTCGGGATCGAAACTGCCAAGGGGTTCAAAGGGCTTCTCATAAGATCAAATACGAGAGTAAATTCTCCTCGTGCGTGTGTTTCAGACAAGTCCCACTATCTCGTTTGTTTTACGTTGATGCTTGTGATAATGCTAGGCTTACTGTGGGGTATTTTCGGAATTTTTGAGGTGAAAGAATTTAGAAACGGTGGCGCTAAACCCCAGTTGTTTCTAGCTTGTCTAGTCGGACCTTTTGGTGTTTGGATTAGGTTTTTTTTAGCCCGTTTTAACGGACGTGGATTAGGCAAAAACGGGGCACTAAAATGGATGCCGTTCGGGACTCTTGCTGCTAATGTTCTTGCAGCTTGTGTAATGGCTGCACTCGCCACACTCAAGAAAGCGGTAATAGTTACGAAAATATTATTAATTCCTCCAAAATAACATGGTTTTATTTTATTGCATTAACCACAATGATTATTTATTTTATTTGTAATTTTATTTTTATACAGGTTAGAACGACGAATTGTGAAACTGTGGCATCGGGGGTACAATTTGGGCTACTCGGGTGTTTAAGTACGGTTTCTACTTTCATCGCTGAATTTAATGCAATGAGAGAGAGCAAGAATACATGGAGGGGTTATGCTTATGCAGCAACTACGTTTTTTATCTCGTTTATTTTGGGAACGCTTATATACTCGGTGCCCGTTTGGGCTAGGGGCTATGACTAGAAATTGATTTTGAGGTGGGATTTCGTAATTTGCTTATTTTCGACTTATATATACATACATACATACATACATACATACATACAATGGAAGATTCAATTGTTGTAACACATGTATTGTTATCATGTTGTTTTGGTGCTATTCAAGTAAGGAAATGAAATGTGAATTGCAAATGGAAGAAATTGATTGAAGACCATGATGAGTTTGTTGTTCTAGTTGCAAATAAAATAGTGTAGTTGGGCTTACATCAAACATGAGCCAAGATGCAATAAATCTTTGACCTAAACAAAGAGTTATGACTATGCCTCAAATGTCTGCCTACAAACACCACACTTGCTTCAACAATAAATCCTAACCTAACAAAATTTTATAACTAGTCAGGTGGGACCCACTTTTATTCAAGCCCATGCAAAGACATCACCACGTGTCACGTGCTACGAGTTGTTGATAAGAGTATATATATGGGTAAACTACCATCACCGCTGAGGCGTATGGTCAAATTACGAAAATTCTCCTTCTGTTTGGATAATTACAACCATCCGCTCAACTATAGATCTTCTTACACGTCCACCCTTGTGGTTTCAAATTTAGTGGAAATTTCGAGATTATATGGAATTTTATCACTTTTGTACCATTTACGTTTTATCCCATTCGAACTCCACATTTTGAAGCAATTGATCATAATATGTGTTTTTTGACTTGTATATATCAGATTGTGGTGCATCATAAACTGTATTTTTAGACAAAACGAGTACAAACTAGAGCACATTCCACGAAATGTAGATGATTATGTTGAAAATTTGACACCATAAGGGTGGAGGTGTAAGGAAAAAAATCATAGTTGAGGAGGTAAATGTAATTATCCAAACAAGAGGGATTTTTTAGTAAATTGACCATACATCAGGGGTGGTTGTAGTTTACCCGAGAATATATATATCTACCTAATTAAATCAATATTTCACTTAATTCATTGCAATATCAATAGATATTAATCACCAACCTCAGCAACACAATTAAAAAAAAAAAAAAAAAAGAAAAAAAAAGCATGATTTATTTATTGATTTATTAGCAAGAAGCTACTGCTACTCACGATATTAATAACACATGCATGTTCCAATATTACAATTCAAATTGAATTATGAAAACAATATTAAACCATTTTATAGTACGTAGCATCACTGTGGAAGCTTGTTAAGCTTACAGTAAACATAGTCTTTATATTTCTTAGTCTTAAACTTCGCCGGGCTTTCTTCGGTCACAAGCTTCGTAATCGGCCCGATTTCAACCTCCGCCGGCGGCTCCAAAAACACCGGCCAAGACATCCTCGTACTCTCCTTATTCACCGTACTCCTATGAAACACAGCCTTGTACTTCCCATTGCTTAGTATCTGTCAATTTAATTAATTAAAAAATTATAATAATGCAACACCGCCATTTAAATATTAATTTAATATGGGGCCATACATGCATGCATGCATGCATGCAAGTACGTACCTCAATTTGGTCTCCAATGTGTACGATGAGAGCATTGGGGATGTACTTGACGTCATACCAACTGTCATCCCTGAAAACTTGGAGGCCTTGAACCTCGTTAGGTACGAGGATTGTGAGTGCTGACATGTCAGTGTGGGCCACCACCCCTAGGGCTAGGTCGGGGCGGGGGCACGGCGGGTAGTAGTTTATCTTCATCAGATAAATAGTGTCTTCCCCGCCCATCGCCGCCTTCAGTTCTTGACCTTCCAGCCCTAGCCCTAGCGACAGCCACTTTGTCAGCTTGTCCGACACGTGGCGGAGCCTCTCCGCGTACTCTTCGTTTGCTTCTCTGTCGTATGCATGAGTGTACACATATGTCAGGGTGAATTATTGCAAGTTAAAATCAAAGGGTATTTTTGTCATTTCATCTAGAGACCGCAGAAACAGTCGTAGACTCGCGGAGCATTTTTTCTAGAATTGCAAACTCAAACAAAGGGTATCTGTGTCATTTTAGAAAAGAAACTTCAGGATATTATGATAATAGTAATAACATAGAGCATTTTGTTTTTGAAATTACAAGTTAAAATCAAAGGGTATTTTTGTCATTTCAACTAGAAATTGCAGGAGAGTTTTTTTCTTTTTTTTTTTTGGAACTAGCATGATAGTAATTAGAATAAATATAATAAAGGGTTAAATTAAAAGAACAAAAAAGAAAAATAAAAAAAAAATAAAAAAAATAAAAATAAAAATAAAAGACAAAAAACTGACCTGTAAGAAGGTGGATTCTTGGGCCAATAGTTGTAATTGATAGCATTAGGTGGCAAAATCTTGTGGAACAAATGATCAACCCAACCCTTTTTGCCTTCAATTTCTTTCTGAAGTGTGGTTCCATATCCTTCTATTCCAGATTCACTTGTCTTTGCAATCACCTCTTTCTCTTCTTTCGGCAGCTCGAAAAACTCTCTCCCCACTCGTTGCAGCTTCGATATCGCTTCGTTCGGGATTCCATGGTTCACCACTTGGAATATCCCCCACTCCCTACTCGCTTCGCTTATCAACCGTACGATCTTTTCTATGTTGGATTCGTCGCTCAGATCGATGACCGGAACCTCGAGAACCACACCCTGCACGGTGGAGCCCGCCGGTTGCTCGTTTTCCGATCGGATGTATTCGGAAGGAATCGTGTTTGCATGCTTGGATAGGGATGCAATGGATTGCACTCTCACCACCTCCATTGTTGGTTTTTCTTCTTTTCCTTTTCTTTTTTCTTTTTGGTTTTTGAAATTGTTTCTTCTATGTGTGTTTTATTGTGTGTGTTTGTGTTCTTGGCGTTTGTGTTTGCCTTTATAGGATTAATTCATGTGGATGGTGATTCTTTATGTGGTAAATTTTTTTTTATGTCATCTATTTTGTGGGAACAAAAAAAATGTGTGGTGAGGTAGGTGCCACTCGAGGATTGGCATTTTACACGTCATATATATATATATATATATATATATATATATATATATATATATATATATATATATATATATATATATATATATATATATATAATATGACATTGGTTTTTTTTTTTTAATAATGTAGGAATTCGCAGCCAACCATAAATGCATAGGGTAAATCTACAATCTGTAAGAGTTCTCGAATGAGTTAGTACTTGGAACCAGTAACCAATGGGCGTAGTTGCACCTACTTTTGTACGGTCGTTAATTAGTTACCTTAAATTTGTCATACTCTTTGCAGCTTCCCAGATTTCTGGGTACAAGCACAACATGTGAGCAATAAATTTTAACCTAACCAGAGTTAGGACAAGTTCATTCAATTGCAATATAGGTAAAATAATTTAATGAAACGAACATGGTGTTGGTCGTTGGATCACGAATCGTAGTTGGAGTTTCAAATTTCAATCCTAGCCGTCGAATAACTCAACAACGTCTCCTTAAAATAAACGAACAAGAAACTAGGGATTGTTCTTGTGATAGTACATTCATTCCCTTTTTACCATAATTAATGAATATGTTTTCTCCTTTTTTCGTCGTTTAAAATTGGAAGTAATCAATGCAAAATAACATCAAACTATATGAACTCACAAGTGGTTCGTTAGTCAATTTCACGTTTGACTCTAGATACTAATGTTTGCCTGCCGATAGGGACTGTTGCAATCGATATACGTACGCCACACTTTGTCGTATGTTGGACCGATAATTTAACAAAATTGTCTTATAGCATACATATGTAACATATATTTCATCGTATATACATACAACTGCAAATTGTTGAACTCTAGCTACATGCAAATAGGCAGGTGATTTACGACACGTATCTCGTTTTTATCTTGTCAAATATACAACTCAAGCACAACTCACACCAAATTCAATTTGCAGATACACACGAGTTTCAAATGAAAGAAAATAGAATGCAATACAGAAACAGACATATTTCAATTACTCAGTTTAATACATGAAGCAAAACTTAGTACATGTCTTAAAAGATCAAACCTATTTTACAATCCACAAGGTTTTTTTTTTTTTTTTTTAATATATATAATAGAAATGCATACATGAATTGAGGCAGTTATGATGGATCGGTTACTTCGTCAACCACAACAAGAGCCGCATGCAGGAAGAGAACCTGAGAGTTGAGAAGAAGGAAAAAAAATTCCAAGTCAAATAGCCGAACAAGAAAAGAATTTTTAAATGAAGACTAGTACAGAGTAGAAGAAATATTAACGAAAAAAACTTACTGTGGTCGATTCCTCGAACATTATCCATTCCCCGTGGTGGCCCACGTGGACCACCACCGTATGGACCACCACCACCAGGGCCGCCTGGCCCACCACCATCCCATTTCTTGCTGGCACCTGATCCTTTCCTGTAAGCTTCAGATTTCTCCATCTGCACAAGTTATGGAAAAAAAATATGAGCACACAATTCAAATGTTAACTGCAAGAGTTTGATTGAGAGAACTCGAGATTTTACCGAAAACATTGTTGCGAAAAAGACCCCAATGAAGTTTATAATGGCCCGGAAGAAATCTGTGATTGTTTTCACTCGCCATATTGTTCTCTTCGATTTGACAACCCCTGAAAGAAATTCAAATGAGAGGACACAGTCAGTAAAATATAGGTAGTGTAGATGGATACCAGAATGCACCGTTCCAATCAGATTACATTCCAAAGTGGTAGAGTTTTAATGCATTTACTCAATCAATTTAGTTATATTTTATTTTATATTCATTTCAAATATTTCAGTTCTTTACATCATCTTTCCCAAATCTTTAAGGAAGAGAGAGGCATAATTCCTAGCTGTTGTATCAAACAAATGTAAGCAGTAATATGTCTATGATCTCATACTAGTAGACTATTATTTCTTCTTTTCTTTAAGGGTCGAGCAGAACATTTTCGTTTTCTCAGATTACACATCTTTCAGTTGATGATAAAGAGACGTCAAATCATCAAGCATATAAAATCCAGAAATCAGAGCAAAGATTCGATCATGTCAAGGGTAAATGCACGAATCAACAGCTAAAGACCTAAATATTCTGGCAAAAGTCGAACATTCGGGGAAGTGCATGGCACATGAATGCCGTATCGCAAGCATAGAAACTTTTAATCCACAATTATATAAGATTGTTGCAAGCATACGAGTCACACGGATTATACACAAGAACGAATGCTGAGGGTGCCTGAAACGGAGCCATGACTAATTAAATTTTCATTTCTAAGTCTTCCCACCCCAATCAACTAAAGGGGGAAATGCCCCCTTCCACTCAATAAGAGGCTTCTTTTTTATTTTATTTTGTAATCGAACACACCGCCCTCCCGAATTTTACTTCTTTCGAGAATTAGCTAGATAGATGCTCAACAGATAATTTCAGCAATTTACTTAAATAGCATTTCTATAGTATTCAACAATATAAAAATTTTATCCAGATTTACAAATTTCATAATTTGAAAATTAGCCAACAATCTGTCTTTGGCAAAATAATAATTTTGACGAAAAAAAAAAGTAACAATATTTCAATTATTTCATAGACATGATCCCTACCCCCATTTCCAAACAAATAAACACGCACCATCGAAGGAATATTTCAATTATTTATATACAATAACAGATTGCCCAGGAAGATGCATAGATATATGACCAATACATATATATATTCCAAACGCGAGATTCACAATCGACAAATCAATATTTTGCAAAATTAGGGATCAAACTTGCGAAAAAATTGAAACACACTCTCGAATTAACGGCAAATTCATAACCCACAGATTGATTATTGAAAGGGATACGATACCTCTCTCGACGTAAGCCATTGAAGCAACGACGACTCTTCTCCAGCGTCTTCCTTGATTAGCTCGCGCTCCAGAGAAAAACGTAAAATAAATAGAGCAAACGGGTTTTAATTCCCTACGGCGAACCCCACTGAAGATTCGGCGAGAAAGCCATGTTCACTTTACACGTGGCTAAATTTATGACGTGTCGAAATATGAGTGGACGCAATGAGAGGAAGACCGTTGTTGCGGTGCGCACAGTTTTTCTCCTTTGTGATTACGTAATCCGACCCAATCAGCATCCGCCACGTAGACACATCCCCACTACAGAGTCTACCATTAGTAATCACCGCTCCATACCCATTTACAGATTTACAATTAGGGGGTGTGAACGAGCCGAGCTCGCCTCTTTTGGCTGGCTCGAGCTCGAGCTCGAGTCTATTTTGTCGAGCTCGAGCTCGAGCTCGTCGAGTTCTTCTTTTTTTGGTTCGAGCTCGAGCTCGTGTTAATTTTGTCGAGCTCGAGCTCGTGTTAATTTTGTCGAGCTCGAGCCCGATCTCTTTTTTTTTTTTTTAAATATTTTTTAATTATTATTTTATTATTAAAAATTATTTAAAAAAAATACAAAATAAAAACTAAATTCTTGTGATTATATATTTTTTTAATATTTGTATTTATTTCTGTAATATTTTATATTATTATACATTATTTAAATAAAAATAACATATAAAAAATAATAATAAATCCGGCTCGTGAGCTGATGAACAACTAAAATCCGGCTCGAGCTCGGCTCGTCAGAAAGCTCGAGCTCGCGAGCTCGAGTCCGAGTTCGAACTTTTTACGAGCCGGCTCATCGAGCTCACGAGCCGGCTCGGCTCGTTTATCACCCCTATTTACAATACATTCGTACCCGCCCCATCTAAAAAGATGCACATTCCACCCCACCCGAATAATATCCATAATATATATATTTTTTTAAAATAAATTAAATTATTGTTTGAATATAATATACAGTACATCACAAATTTGAAGTTTTAACAATCTTTCTAAAACTCATAGCCCATTTCTCCATATCCTCCACCACTTCCCACATTTTGCTTTCTCTTTCCCAATCCCATGTATCCTTCATTGGACTTTCATACCCCTGGAAACAAAATTACAAAAAATAAATAAATTAAAAAATTAAAAGAAAAAAAGTCGAAAACATTCATTGATAAAAAGGATGGAATAAGAAATTTTTTACTAGTTACCGATTCGGAAGGAAGAAGTACTGGAAATAACGATTTTTCTGCATACTCCGGTCCATCGGATTTCAAGGCGAACGGTTTTCTGACGGCAGAAAGTGCACTCTCGATATCAAGAAAGTGGCCGACAACCATCCTTTTCAAAACTCTAGCTTGAAAGGTCTTTCCTCTGAGGATGGGGATCGAACTCGATAAGCTTCTTGATCTTGATTAACTTGTGGAGTTTATATGTAATAAACACGCTAAGTTACGAGTAGCGAATAAAGGTAAGGGCACAGCTAGAAACAAGAAACACGAACCTGCTATAATCTCGGAACGGTGAACGGGACTCTGGGGCTGGTATGATTCCTATGAGTAGTGCACACTCACCCAAAGTGAGAAGCGATGGGTGTTTTCCGAAGTATAAATTTGATGCTGATTTGATTCCATAGATCCCGTGCCCCCAGTATATCTGAAAAATTTCCGTAAATTTAGTTGTGTTTGGTTCAAGATTAAAAAGAGAACTCGATGCTTGAGAATTTGTAATAGGAGACAATTAATTACAATTGTAACGCAGACTATGTACACAAGTGAATGTCGGGGCAGGATCTATTTCAAAATGTGAAGACTCCATAATATTGCTTAATTCAAGCAGAGGCACTCTGATTTCAACGCACAAATTATGTAGCTACCAACTCGAAACAAAAAATAAATAAATCGTAACACGAGATAAGAGTTGTGCTTGACCTTACACAAGTACGCACTCAATATTTTCGGTTTTGAGATTTTCCTCTCGAGTGCAACTGCCAGCGCCATCTCGATAAATTTCCTAGAAAGCGTGCGCTCGTTCTTCAGAAATGTATTTTTCACAAGCTGCCAGTAAATTCAGAAGCATTCAAAATCTGAAAAGATTATTATGATGTACAAATTTAACATCAAAAATATTTCAGAAATCAACATGAACAATTAACCATGCATTAAAATTGTTCGGTCAGGAAAAACAACAAACAGGTAGCGTGCGTGAATACAAACACAAATACCGATCACTAGCTTCGAAATTTACACCTGCTGGGTTATGGTACTGCCGCCACCACGAGCTGAAAGAGACAAAATGGCGCGAGCCACGCCGATCGCGTCGACTCCAGAATGGCTAAAGAAGCGCCGGTCTTCGTAAGCAACAACGCCTTGGAACAAATACTCGGGGGCTTCTACCAGCTCGGCTTCGGCTTGGGAAGCGAAGCCGATCAGACGGCGCCAACGGCGAGGAAAATCCGGCAGGAGGAGGTCGGAAGCAAGCCGGAGAATCAGAAGCGTGAGGGAAAATACGGCGATAACTGTAAATTGGGTGAATGTAGAGCCGAGCGTGTGTTGAGAGCCGCCGTGAAAGTTGTTGTTGTTGTTGTTCAGGGTGTAGCGGAGTTGGAAGAGGGGTGATTTTTGTTTGAAATTTATGTGGTTTCTTTGGGTTGTTGATGTAAGAGAAAATGAGCGAGTATTTACGAGAGTGGCGGCGGCGGGAGACGGCGGCGCTGCGGCGGTGGAGAAACCCATGTATTTTTGCATGGCCACGGTGTTCATCAATTGGGCTCTATTTAAAGGCCCAAATTAATAGTATTTTGACTTGAATTAATACATAAGAAAATCTCATGGGCTTTGCTAATTAAAACTCGAGAGCCTAGTCCATTTTAATATTTTAATATAGGACAAATTACGGTCAACCCCTAATGTATGGTCAAATTACGAAAATACCCCTCTTGTTTGAGTAATTATAGCGGCCCTCTTCTTTTTAAATATTTTTACTTAAAATTTATGTCATTCGCTTATCTAACGATCGGTAAACGGTATGAAATGTTGGCGTACCGAAATTTCGGTTTGGTTTTACTGAATTAACATTCCTAAATTTACCTCTTGAGTACTCTTTTCGTAAAATAATACATAATTCAGAGGGGTAGTTGTAGTTACGCAAAGAGGAGGAGGGGTTTTTGTAATTTAACTATAAATTAGGGGTGGCTGTAATTTGCCCTTAAATTTAAGAGGCAATAAGATTTTTAATACATGATATTCTTTATTAAAAAGGAAAAAAAATATTAATGAAAATTATTTAAAAATATATTGTAGTTGATATAGAAAAGCAATTGAAATAGAAAAGCAAAAGTCAGTTACCAAAAGTTGTTATTGATTGCAAGCAAAGAATCACTACTTCATCATTACGTTGCAACAATTGTTGTGTGGATCATCACCTATAAAAAGCTAAACAACATAAGCTTCTATAAATAATTCCAAAGGCCGATCCAAATTCGAAATCAAATTGCGAAAAAAATGAAGTCGTCGACAATCTTTGTTTGCACAATGGTTCTCGTTCTACTTGCCACGACAGCAATGGCGGAAAATGATGGCTCGGATTTTTGCGACACGAGATGTGAGGTCCGTTGCTCCAAGGCCGGGAGGCGGGACCGGTGCCTCGAGTATTGCGGAATATGTTGTGACAAGTGTCATTGTGTGCCTTCGGGCACTTATGGGAACAAAGACGAGTGCCCTTGTTATAGGGATATGAAAAACTCGAAGGGACAACCTAAGTGCCCTTAATATATCAAATAATTTATAATTTGTGGTTGTTATGTCAAAATATGGTGCATAAAAGAAAATTAATTTGTGCGCAATAAACATTAGTACAACCTAAGAAACCATGTAGTGATATTTTTAAAATTATATTTTTACTTCGTGTTATCTACTTATTTTGAGAATACTCTGAACGCCAATCTTCTATTTTTTCAGCTATTTTTGATTTTTTATATTATTGCTCATATTTGTATTTTACATTAATAATAATAAAAACTCACAAGCGAGAGAAATTTAGGTTTTGGTTTAATATTATTGCTTATATTTGTCATAATAATAACAATAACAATAATAATAATAATAATAATAATAATAATAATAATAATAATAATAATACATAAAAAAAAACTCACGAGCGAACTCATAAGCTCTTGAATTTTTTCTATTACAATTGTTATTATCATATATTTAAATAGTTTTTTTTTTCAATTTTGATATAGAATCTAGTTAAATAAAAAGTAAAATTCCTATTAAATAGAAAAAAATTAATAATTTTCCAATTAGACACAAAAAATCCGCTTTAAAAAGGTAAAAAGTCTGCCAAAATTAAATCCCTATTAAATTCATTATGTTACAATTAAAATAAAATAAAAAAAATAAGAAAAAAATGAACAAATAATTTACAATAATAGCATCAACACAAATCTTCTTGGCATTAATACACCAATATTCCCAACATGGCCAAAAAAAAAAGCCTATAAAATCCCATGAGTATTATTCTTCTGTGCTCATCCTTCAAAAAATTACCTCAAACTCAATCATTAATCAATTTCGAAAAAAAAATAAAAAAAAATGAAGTTGATGTCAACGACCACCCTCGTCCTCGCCCTTTTCCTTGTCGGTACGTTTGCAGAAAGCGGGCCGGCGGAAGCACCGTCCGATATTTCGGGCTTTTGTGACGAAAAGTGCGCCGTACGATGCTCGAAAGCGGGCCGGCAGAACCGGTGCCTTCAATACTGTCGTATTTGTTGCGCGAAATGCAATTGTGTGCCTTCGGGTACTTACGGAAATAGGGACGAGTGCCCTTGTTATAGGGACTGGAAAAACCCCAAGGGTGGACCAAAGTGCCCTTGATACATACAACACTTCTTCTCTATCATAAATTCATAATAATTATAATGAATATATTTATATTTTGTTTTGTTACTTTATTGAAGTGTGGAAATATGTCAAGTGTTATGTGTGATGATTTAATTATCTGTATTTCTGAAACATTTTTGAAAAATCCCATAACTAGGAGTTTAAAAGTGAGTTCAACCGGCTCGACCAAGGCTCGAGTTGGAGCTCTCATTACTACTAGTTGTTTGTGACTCACGAGTTTTTTTTAATTAATATTCCTTTTTTTAAATATAAATAATATATACTATTAGTATTTTCTAATGCGGCAATTACACATAATTACCAATAAACCACAATCAGTAATTTTTAATTTTTTTAAACACACCTTAAAAATGACAAATTCCATTAAATAGGAATGAAGAATAAATTAATAAACCATTAAATTTACCAACTCAAATAAACTCAATAACTGTTTGACAGGGGCAAAAATGTAAAGTACACAAATACTGAACAACATTAGTCTATGTAAATTAAAAAAGGAAGCAGCTTTTCAAGTGCAAAAATTCCTTATACTCTCTGTATGTATCCTTTGCTGCATAGCCATGAAACAGTAAGAAACCACAACCCTTAATTCCTCTGTTCTTGATCTGTAACACAAAAAATAAAAATGAATTAGATTAAGAAACTAATTTACACATCAGTTTAAGTTCTGCTACAAACTCTTTGGCAGTAGTTTCAACCACAGTCGAGTACGAATGATGTATATAGCGGGAATTGAAGAAACTCTCGTTAAAAAAATACGATGTTTTCATAGTCCAGCCAATTATTCCTTTCCAGAGTACTTATGTAGCATAAAGTCAACCAACAAATTTTATCAATAAGAAATATAAAAACAGAAAAAAAAATTGTATATCAAAATTTGAGTTCTGCTATATGGGAATACCGAGTAGAAGAAACTGTCGTTAGCTAATTCAAATATTTACGTACGAGTAGGAGACTAAGAACGACGATATTCACTGCCGATTTATTCCTTCACATTTTTGAAATTTAAATCCATTGACATGCGCATAACTCGATAAATATCTAAACAAGCTCCGGTACTAGAAACTCGTAGTTCACTATAACATTCTTCATTCGGATTACTTCTTTGACTATGTTAATATAACTCAATACCAAAGTATAACAATTGCAAGAGAAAAAAAAAACGGAAAAGAAAATTGTTCGTAAAACAATTACCTCTAACAAAACAGTTGCAGAAACTCGTACCGAAACTCCACTACTGCTTCTTCTTACTCTTCGACTTAGAAGGGATTTTCCCATATGCCATAAGCCTCGTAACGGGCAGTCTGAGCTCAGCTTGACGGCGTCTCCTCTTACTTCCTCTCGACAAACCGTTGCTTGTTTCTCCATTCGATTCCAACGCATCATCTCGTTTCTCCTTCCGATCTTCATTAACCGAATTAGACGTACCCACTTTACCAACGTTCTTGATTTTCTGTTTCAGCTCAATAATCTTACTACGAGGCACTTTCCATTCCTGCTCCGCGTACGGAGGCATTTTCTTCAACGGAACGCACTGATTCAATTCCTTCTCGTCTGCCTTCAATATTTCATCCGGGGTCAGCCCGTATCTATTAGCTTTAACCGGCCTGTACTTGAATCTCGTTTTCAATTCTCCAATAGTGTCTTCGTAATCCAACTTATAGTACTCCTCCATCAGCCCCTCCTTTAACGCCAGCTCCACTTCACTAGGCTTCCGTTTTCTCTTCCGCTTACCTTCTTTCGACTCATCTTCACCAACCTCGTTTTCATCACCCACAACCTTATCTTTCAAGATTCTCTGCCTAGCCGAAATAAACCCTTCCCTAGATTCATACGCCTCGTCCCAACCCTTTTCAAGCCCAAGCAACTCATCTTCCTTATCAAAATCCGGCTTCTCAATCTCATCTTCTCCTTCTTCGTCGTCGTCATCGCTCCCAAACTTCGGATCAACATCTTTTGCATCGTAATACCCATCGCCAAACGCCGCCTTCATCTTCTTATCGTAAGCTTCGGGGTCGAACTCCTCCTCCAAATCGTCCTCGTCTAAGAAGGCGTTTTCGCCCTCCTCTGTAATGCCAGCCACCTCCCTAATCTTCTGCAGCTTCTCGTTGATTTCTTTCTTCTTCAAATTCTTCAGCCTCTTCAGCTCTTCCTTCCTTTCGAACTCGGCCTGCACCATTCTCTCTTCTTTTCTCTCCCTCTGCACTTTTCTTGCATTATCCTTCTTCCTAACGGAACCTTCCACTTTTCGAGAATGTCCCATAACCCTATCGCCAGCATTCTCCTCGTACCGAAAATTGAACTCTCTCTCGTAATCTTCTTGCTTCTCTACCTCCTCTTCATCCTCCGAAATATCTACGTCCTCGCGTCGCACATTACTACTTTTATCATCCATCCACATCTTTTTCCGAAAAAAATCCTTCAGAAACATGGTATTCTCATCCAATTTCTCGTCTTCGCCAAAATACTCGTCCAATTTCCCTCCAATTTCATCATCATCATCATCATCTTCCTCTTCCTCTTCCTCGTCTCTCATCCCACTATTCTTCACCCTTATGAAATCTCCGCCTTCTTCGATATTCCCTTCTTCCTCTTCCACCGCTTTCAGAAACTGCCGCCTCAATTCATCTTGTTCTTCCTTATAACTCTTAACTCTATTTTCATTTCCATGATTTTCCCCATTCTCCATTTCTTCATCATCAAATTCCGGACCCTCCTCAATTAAATGCTTCGATACAACATCCTTCAAATACATTGGCTTCTGCTTCTTCTCCTGCTTCCCCTTTTCTTCACTCGCACCATCATCGTCCTCGGAGTCAGAATTGAACAATTTTGCGTCAGTATCTTTCAAAACAGGGTCCTGATTTTTCACCTTAATAAGCGCGTCGAAAAACGCGAGGTCCGTCTTCTTACTCGGTTTGATCAACTCCTCCTCCTCCTCGTCGGAAGAGGATTCGTCGGACTCCGAGTCCACGCGCCCCTGCTTTTTCAGCTCCTCGTATTTCTGCAATTCCTCTCGCTTCTTGTTGTACTCGTAGCGTTTGGCGAATTCGTGGTTGATTTCAATCTTTGACAAGTCATCTTCGCCGCCGTTTGGAGAATCGTCGCCGTCATCAAAAAGCTGTAGACGACCCATTGCCTGAAAAAAAATGCAAACTTTGAAAAAAATCACACTGTCAATCGATTTAGGGGTTTTTTCTAGGGTTAGGGTATGACAAATTTGTGAATTTGGGTTTTAAAGATCCAATAGGCCAAATTTAATGGGCTTACTAATCAGATTTTGGTCACTATTGTAAAATTCTTATTGGGCTTGACCTTTTCCACTATTAATTAATATATAGTATTTTAAATTTTATTTTCTAAAATATTTCAACATATTCAAAATATATAAATGTGTTCGATACGGGGTAGGTAAGGGTGCATACGAAACTCGTATCCACTATAGGTGAAAATTTTAAAATACGTATCCGTCCAATTAGCTAAAATGGTGGGGATTACCTGATAAATCCACTGGACGAGGCGTACACCCAGTGGGGCGGGTTAACTTGCCATCCATAAATTAATGTGATTTTTCTTTAATATCAAGTTGCAATTTTATATGGGGAATAAAAGTTCTAGAATTTTGCAAAATTTAAAATCATGGGGGACCATGTGTTTTCATCTGTTAAATGAATTAATTGTGATTTAATACTTTGTTATATCATTTCTTGTTTAAATTGGATCTTAATAGTTTTTGGGCTCGTTCGGTTACTGCTATAAGGTGCTACTGACTAAATAGTAGAGGCTAATAACACGTCCGATTGACAAGATTCACACTTTTCGAAACCTGCTACTAAAATCAAAGTCCGCTATTAAATGCTACTATTGCATTAAATTAGTAACACCCCTCCCCCAGAGATTAATTTAGTAGGAGGTGATTAGAAAGGAAAAAACAATTTTATCCTTAAAATCATATCGTATTATTTTAAACTAAGTGATTTTATAGACAACTTATATATAATAACTAATTTAACAAATTTAATAGAAGATCTAATCTAAGAAACCGAACATGCTACTAACTAAATAATTAATTAGGCATTAGGGATTTAATTCAATCTAATCCAATATAGGTAACCGAACGAGCCCTTTATATTTAAATTGACATTTAAAACTAGCTATTTGAATATTATAATCATTCTAAATTCTCTTTGCATGATTTTCATTCTTCACTAATTAAGTCAAGTAGGAATCAAAACTTCAAAGATTATTAAGTTAAAAAAAAAAAAATTCAAATTCAACATGACCTAATGAATCAAAATAAAGAGTGAAGAAAAAATGTAGGAAAATAATAATAAAAAGAAAAGATAGGAAAATGAAAAAATAAATAATAATTAGTTAAAAAAATAAAAAGTCGGCGGCGCCTCTTTGCCTTCGCCGACCAATGATTAACGTCCCTTTCGTCTCCCTCTCTCCCCACCCACCCACCCACCACCATCTCTTTTTTCTCTCTCTACAGATATTATATTATACACACAAAATACATGTATCTAATATTTTTTCATTTGGTTGTGATTTTTTTAGCCTTTTTCTCTTAATTAAAAAAGGGTTCTTCCGTGAATTTATTTATTTAATTCCATTAAAAACCGGAAGATCCCTCTAACTTAGTTTCTAATTCACTTTGATTTCATATAGTTTTCCAAATTGATTCTTCAATTTTAATTTTCAATTAACTAGGGTAATAATAATATGGGGGGTATATTCTTTGAATCAAGTACGGGTGCTTCGCATACTGAAGATTTTCTCGTCGATAATGGCGGTAAAGACAATAAGAAGAAGAAGCGAAGATCGAGAAGATCCAAGCAGAATTGCTCTCTCTCAGGTAATTTTCATTTTTTTAATATGTTTAATTTTTCGCAAGTAGATTTGATTAGTTCCTCTGGGTTTTCATGTATGGATTTTGGATTGGGAATAGAATTAGGTTTTCATATATGGAATTTTCAGTATTAAATAGTTCTAAGAATTGTTGGTTTAATTTGTTTTCACTGTGTTTTTTTGCAAGTGAGTGTGTTTATTTTCCTGATACTTGTGGCTTTGAAACAGCTTGTAGTTCTGCAAGTGAAATATGCACATATGAGTCGAGATTGCTCGGAGACGACACCTCGTCAAATCACGTTGTTTCGAGTGGGCATAATCAACAGGAAATAGAATGTAATGTGGATTTAAGATCGATGCCTGAAGTCCATTTAAACAAACAAGTTGCAGATGAGAATCTAAAGATTCGGCCATCCGTTACGAATGTGATTCACGAAGAGCCTGATACTGTGGGGCCCATTTTGATTGCCCGACCAGTTGATAATCACGCTCGACGGAAAGTCTACCCTCCGCATTTGTCGGCAGAAGCTGTTAGTAAAGGATTAGAGGTTAACGTGAGTCTCTAATATGTTTTTGAGATATTAGATGTTTTTTTTATTTCTTGTTATGACAGCAATAGGTTATTTATTGTGCAGGAAGGTGGATTACTGAGTGCAATTTTTCATGTCAATGCTCACAACAGTCTCGAGGTTTGTTCTATCAAATTCTCCGCGTGGAATTACGTGTATGTGCATTAAATGTGAGTTCTCAGTAATATCGTTGATTTCAGGCCTACTGCAAGATTGATGGAGTACAAAGTGATGTTCTTATTAGTGGGATGATGGCTCAAAATAGAGCTGTAAGTGTTTACAAATTTTATTGAGAATTCGTGATTTTTCTTCATCTTGTAGATTGTAATCTATTACATGCTAAGTTTCTTTTTTGGATACAATCATCGAAATAACTTCCATTTTTCTTCATCTTGTAGATTGTAATCTATTACATGCTAAGTTTCTTTTTACATGCTCAAAATAGTTTCTTTTTTGCTTAATATTTTTTGGGAGCTGTGTTTATGGATTCCCAACTTCCATTTATTGCAGATTGAAGGCGACACTGTTGCTATTGTCATTGATCCTCCTTCATTATGGCCACGAATGAAAGGCTCAAACGAAATTCCGAACAATCCCAATTCTTTGCAGCTGCATCAAGCTCTTGTACAGATAGGGTGTGACAGTGCATGTTCCACTAGTAACATGGTTATTCAGGACAATGGTGCTTGTCATGAAAATGGGCCCGTTTCTTATGGAGATGGGTTTTCGGATAATGCTTTGTCTCGTGATGCATACGAGTCGATGAATACGTTGGAGAAGTTGTGCACTTTAGTAAGTTTGCTTCCCTCAAAACGACCAACCGGTAGAGTTGTGGCTGTCATGGAAAAATCTCCACGTAGGAATAATGTCGTCGGTTTTCTGAGTGTGAAACAATGGATTTACAGTCGAGAGAGCAAAAGAAGAAACCCCAGAAAGAACAAACACCAAGCCGATGTTGACGATGGCTATATTTTATTGATTCCGAACGATCCCAAATTAACCAAAATGATGGTCTGTGTGGAGAATCTTCCTGGAAGCATCCGGATGTTTCTGGAAGCTGGTGATTTGACTATCGAGACTTTCCTAGTCGCAGCAGAAATCGTTGATTGGCCTGACGAAAGTTACATTCCTGAAGCTTCTGTTATTCAGACTTTCGGAAGAGGTAGCGATATTGACGCTCAGATTGCCGCAATTTTATTTGAACACGCAATTGATGCGTCGGATTTTTCTTCCGAAGCACTTCTGTGCGTTCCGAAAATCCCATGGAAAATCCCGCATGATGAATTACAAAGTCGAAGAGATTTGAGAAAATCGTGTATTTTCACTATAGACCCTGCCACTGCTAGTGATCTTGATGATGCCTTATCGGTTGAAAGACTGCCGAACGGTGTTTTTAGGGTGGGGGTGCACATAGCGGATGTTTCATATTTTGTTTTGCCTGATACACCTCTAGATGGAGATGCTAGAATTCGTTCGACAAGTGTTTACTTATTGCAGCGTAAATTGTCAATGTTGCCCCCATTGCTTTCGGATAATTTAGCATCGCTCAATCCTGGTGTGGATAGACTTGCGTTTTCTATCTTCTGGGACATTGATTCTGCGGGAGTAATTCTAGACCGTTGGATCGGACGTACTGTAATACACTCTTCTTGCAAGCTCTCTTACGAGCATGCTCAGGAGATTATTGATGGGGCATTTGATGCCAAGAATACTAAATTGTATGGCCAATTTGAATGGTGTGATGTTATTAAATCTGTAAAATGTCTTCACGAAGTTTCGAAATTGTTGAAAGAGAATAGGTTCAGGAGTGGGGCGCTGTCGCTCGAGAGCCCAAAAATTGGGTTTTTATTTGATGAGGAAGGCTTACCGTACGATACGGTGGTGACCGGGCGAAAAGACTCGAATTTTCTCGTGGAGGAGTTGATGCTCTTGGCGAATAAAACAGCTGCAGAAGTGATAACTCGAGCTTATCCATCTTGTGCTCTGTTAAGAAGGCACCCCGAACCAAATGCACGAAAGCTTCTAGAATTCGAAGCCTTCTGTGGCAAACATGGTTTGAAACTCGATACTTCTTCCTCTGTATACATGCACAATTCTCTAGAGCAAATAAGAGAGGAGCTAAAGAATGACTCATCATTATTCGATATATTGATGTCTTATGCTGCTAGGCCTATGCAGTTGGCTTCTTACTTCTGCAGTGGTGATTTGAAGCATAACAATGGTGAGTGGTGCCATTACGCTCTTGCGGTACCACTTTATACACACTTCACTTCTCCGCTTCGGAGGTATTCAGATATTGTAGTGCACCGTACATTAGCTGCCGTTCTTGATGTGGAGGATAATTTCCGGAAGGGAAAAAGAAGGTCCCGGAAGAAGTTTACCGAACGAGAAGTTGTGAATGGCTTCTTCTTGACTGGTTTGAGTGTTTGTGAAGAGGAAGTCGAATCGGTTGAGGCTAGAGAAGCTTTGGGTGTTGCGGCGAAAAAGTATGGAGTTTTTTCTACGGAGAATCTAAGTGTTGTGGCTGCTCATTGTAATGAGAAGAAGCTTTCGAGCAGACGTGTGAAGGATGCGATTGATAGGTTGTACATGTGGGCTTTGCTGAAAAGGAAAAAGGTGATTTACTTTTTTTTTTACATGTTGATTTTTATCTAGTTTTGGGTTTTTTAAATCTTTACTTTTGTGTTTGCTTCCTTTTATGTTGTCATACGTTTGTTTTTATATTCCCATTTTATTTTAATAATGGGCAATTTAAAGTTGTTTCTTTGCTCTACATCTGCAGATATTGTATTCCGAGGCTAGGGTATTGGGTCTCGGACCGAAGTTCATGTCTATATATATCTCCAAGCTAGCTGTAAGTATTTCTTCTTCAGTCGACATTATCCTACTGTCAAATTTACAATCCGTTTCTGATTAGATATATATTATTTCAGTAAAAAGTAAATAACCGACAAAATTTACCTGTACAGATTGAGAAGCGCATATATTATGACGAAGTTGAAGGCCTGAAAGCTGAGTGGCTCGTTGCCACGTCATCGCTATTGCTCAACCACTCGATTCACAAGAGACCCAATCGGAAAGGTAGCCCGAGCAAATTCAGGCCAATCGATGAAACTGCAATGATTGTTAGTCCAATTGATTTGGAGATGGAGAAAACCAATAATCTAGAACCTTCCGTTTTTCCACTCACATTGCATCTCCTATCGACAATCCCTGTTGCTCTCCACGCTATCGGTGGTGATGATGGGCCCCTCGATATCGTTGCTAGGCTTTACGTCAGTTCGTATTTTCATTAACATTTTGGACTTTTCTCGCGCTAGTGTTCCACAAATTGGGTACCGGAAAAAAAAAAGAAAAAAAAAATGATCTTAGTGAAGTGTAGAATTTAGAGATACGGCGGCTGTTTTTAGATATAAGCTGCTGCTTGTGGGGAGAAGGGTTGTTTTTTTATTGGCCACTTCTTCCCGGTATAACCTGGTTTATTTTCGCGTCGCTTTATGTGTTAGTTTAATCGTGACTATTGATTGTTGGAGATGGAGTTATTTGTTCGTAAAAGGATCAACTTTTCGCTGGTTTGGTGCCCGATATATTTTTTAGGGTCGGGTGTTCCTCGATTGATGGTGGTGATGAAACGTTATATTTGGTTTCCGTGTAAATTTGGCTGTCGTATGAGGGAGTTTATTGATGAAAGAGATATTTGTTGCTACTTTATAAGACAGATGCTCTTTATATTTGTTTTGAGCAATTGGTATGCTTTTATGGTGTAAGAGATTATTAAACTGTGCCTTTGTTATTATGATGTATAAGCTGTTGAATCAAGAAACTATGGCCGAAAATCAAATAAAGCTATTTGAGTTTCTTCGAATGTCGTTTGTTTTAGAAGTTTGTTTGAGTTTGATTTGTTTACCGGACTATGTTTAAATAGATGTTTTCATTCGATAAGGAATCAAATTTGGGTCGAGTTCATGTTCGTTTTGGAAAAGTGATAAAATACGTTGGACAAATCAATCTACTTAGGTTTGATTCGTGTTTGTTTCAATGAGTTTGATCTGATTGCTTAGTAAATTAAGTTCAAATACATAATCGACATCTGGATAAAAATTCAAAAGCAAGTCATTTTACTTTCTACGAGAAACCGAATTAGTAAAGAAGCGCGACAGCCGACAGTATGGTGTCGAGATCGAAAGCTCGATCGAAGAAGAAGAGAAACAAAATGTGAAAAGTGATCTACATTTTACACCTTTACAACGGGGAATTCAGTTATGCAGCTATTTATAGCACAAGTCTGCCACGTGTCAGCATCTCATTGGCTATTGGATTTAGTAAAACAGAACGAAGAGAAACGCTGAAAAGAGGAAAGCGAGTTTATTTATTAGTTGTGTCTATGAAACGTCGTCGTTTAATCCATTGATTAGAGGAAATAAATAGCAGCCTCTAAAAATGGCGGAAAAAATACGACGCGCCATAGCCCTAGTTCAAAAGTAAGCTCTGAAAAAAAAAAAAAAGAAAAAAAAAAGCAAGCAGGAAAAACATGGCGGCAGCAATTGGTTGGTACGGGCCACTGATTGATCTCAGCAAAGCATCTTCTTACATTGGCGATTACGTACAACTCCTTGTCTTCGTTCACAAATCCACCCCGATTCAGGTCATTTTTTCCCCCATTTCTTACGCAGTCTTTTCTGCTTCGTAGTTACTGTAATTTGATTTGATTATCTGAAATTTATTATTTCTTGTATACGTTGGATAAATTATGACGGTGCAGTATAAAATTGGGAGAAATGGAGAGTTGGTGAGGATGGATATTTTGGTGGGAGATGAAACGAGGTCGTATTTCCCAATTACCATTTGGCAGAAGCAAATGGGTTCCCAAGTGTTATCTGGTCATGTGTTTCTGCTCCAAAGTATGCTGTCCGTTTTTTTTTTGTTTTTTTTTTAATCATTGTCGATATCGGGATGTTTCTATGTCTCGTTTTTCGTTGAGATTAATCGATTGTATTGCTCAAATCTAACACTAGCATTGGATTTGTCTGACTAGTGCTAATGTTAGGTTAGTCTGTCTATCAGTATCTGCTGTTTTCTTGTTTTTTTTTTAACGAATGATTTTGACCGTACACAGATCTTAAAATTGCAAGATTTGGAGATTCAGTTGAGGCTAGAGCATTACATTGTTCATCTTCGCAATGTCTGGTTCGCCCCGATGACTTCGTTTCATCCAAAGGTACTCTCTCTCTCTCTCTCTCTCTCTCTCTCTCTCTCTCTCTCTCTCTCTCTCTCTCTCTCTCTCTCTCTCACACACACACACACACACACACACAAAAGAAAATTTACTTAAACATCATAAGAAAATTGCATTTTTATAATATAACAGAGCCTTACTATTATTTCGTTTTTTTTTTCTTCTGTAGGTTTAGATGAACTGATCAATGAATGTCGTGTGAGCATAACAACGAGAGACAAGCTTCAGAAAGTGGTCGGATGGCTGCTTCGAGCTAAACTTGCTCACTGTGGCAGTGTACTGAACTATTATGAAGTGAGCCTCCTTTTTAAGTCAAACCGTTTCCGTCGACTTTCTCGTCAATATTATTACTCGTTTATTCATTTTCCGACATTTGTTGTGATTCTCAGCACAGGAAGCAACTAAGAGTAAATTGGAAATTGCACGAAGAGGTACATTCCCAAGATTGCTCATCTCTATCGGAATTATGCAAATGTGAGAATTCTTGTAAAGCGAATTTTCATGCTTCTGTGGGTGAAATATTTCTGCCGATTACTTGGGTTAATCTTCGAGAAATGGAAGCTGAACGGATGTTTATTAGTAGGAGGCTATTTACGCAAGGTGACGATTGTTTGGTCGATGATTTCATCACTACTGGCTGTCAGATATGTGGCATTCCAGTAAATTCAAGAATTGGGTATGATCAAGAATTGAGTGACTTATTTTTATTTTTGTATTTTTAAATTTGTTGTATTAATATAGCAATTAATGGATGGGTAATCTTGATTTTGGCAGGTCGGAGGTGGAGCAAAATACGATTCCTTTATACTGTGAAAGAAGCTCGAATCGTCTCCATGTAGTAGGCACCATATACAGACCTTTCTTGGTACAGATTTGCTTCTTACCATACGATCCATTGAACTATATTTCCACTATGCTTTATTACATTCAATCTTGCAATTTTAGCACACGGGCAATTTTTCCTGCATAATTAATATTTGAATTCATCTCATTAGTCTTTATTATTCGTTCGTGTGCAGTTATATGTGTGGGATGACTCGAAATACCTTCCGATTTTTGTCCCGAACAAGGCAGCTGAAATTTTGTTCGGAAACATCTCTGCTGACAAAGTCTATTCTTCCTACAAACGCCAACGATCTTGTCAAATTGGTTCATCATTTGCTTCGAAAATGAAAGGTATAGAATCATCAAGAAACGGGAACCCAAATTTCTACATGATTTGGTTGATTTTATTGAAAACATTGTTTCAGCATGAAAAGAACAGCCCTTTGAAATTCAAAGTAACGGTTGATACAGATAAAGATTGGGAAAACGGGAGAATTGAGATGGTATCGGCCTCAATCCCGATCCCCTAAGCCTAGATTTCGAATGATTTACGAAATGAATTCATCAATAAATATTAGTGTATGCAGCATTGACAAATAACAACCTCACATAAAGCATCATTTATTATATCATCGTATATTTAACTAAAACAACAAATACAAAAATTGAACCGTATCCGTTGCTAATAACTTGTACAAAGACATATATTTAGCTAAGACACATTAAATAAACATGTATGTATGTGTAAGAAATAACTAGAAACTGGAGAAACACTGATATACGTCATCTCGCTAATCTTCGATTTATTCCAAAACCTTCCTACAGATAAATCTACTAACCCTCGTGGATACAATCAACCATGGTATGATTCCAACCTGCACGGGCATATAATATACACATATCTTAGTTTTCAACAAAACTATGAAGAAACGAAAAAAAATGAAGTACAGATATTATTACCACAACATTGTCTTTCAAATATGCTCCCGATCTCCAAGAAAGCAGCTTACCTGCAAAAATAAGTGGACTGTATATATAAATATGAAGCTTAACGCAATTTCAAATATGTATTTACTGGAATTATGGAAGTGAAATTTGATATACAGTAAAAACCGAGATGTAATAACGGGTAGACGAAAACAAGTACCGAAGGGTTGCACGAGTTGATCAGATATTGTAGTGATAGGTATCTTCCAGAACCATAAAATCAGCACAACGTAAGTAAGAACCTGTCCGGAAAAAGCAACTTAATAACTTTCCAGAAATAAAATTCAATATGATCCTCTCAAACATTTAAATAAATAACCTTTGATATTGTTAAGAGCTTCTCGTATGTGCCAAATGACAGTTTCATATCCTTGTCGTGCATTTCTTGATCTGCGTGGAAACATCAGCAAAACATGGAAAATGAAACAATTGTTTCTAACACATAAAAAAAACACTCTAAATAACGATTCACACAAATATCGTTGCACTTAAATAAAAACCAAAAAAAAAATCGTACTTTTTGCAAGTTCCTTCTCCTTCGCTGCGGCCATTCTTCTTAGTTTTGCAGCTTGTGCAAATGTTGAAGGTCTAAGAATCAACAAAGGAAAATCGATTCTTCAATAAATAAGCAGAGGTGGTGAAACTCAACGAATCCGAAACGATTGATGTTAAACGCTACGTTTCAATTTCGATTATCCACTCGGCATTAATAGCTTTTTCCCGTCGAAAAAAATAAGCCAACGATATAAAACTAAATAGAATGACTTCCAACATCAAACACAGGTAGATTAAATCAGAGAGTTTTTTTTTTTTTTTTTTATCTAATACATCAAAATCAAACGAAAAACATACGGTAATTAAATATAATCGCACTCACTGCGTCAAAGAGCTAGCTTCCTTCAAAAGCTGCTTAATTTCTGCTCGCAATTGAACGTCCAATTCACTCATCGATCCTTTCTTCACAATTTAAAAGAGAAAAAAACAAAATTATCAATAACAATAACCTAATTTCTGATAAATGCCGATATTCACATCGAGAAAAAAAAAACAGAAATAATAATTAAAAAAAAAAAAGAACCTTCTTTTTGTGGAATTCGAGGTATTTGGAGACGAAGTGGAGAGAGAAAACGAGGATGAAAATCGCCGGAGCTGCCAATGACTTGCCGTGCTCCGTTAGGTTTTCTTCCATCATCTTCTTCTTCTGTTCTTCCTTTTTCCGTTTCAATTTCTTCCCCAAAAATAAAAATTAAAAAATTGTTTATATTTTTTCTCCGAGAATTTCAGATCGATGCGTAAATCAATGAGTTGTAGCGTTTAAGCACAGAAGAGAGAGAAAGAGATGAAGATGGAGATCGAAACAGCGAATCCAAATTTAGGGATTCTGTGAAGAGGAAGAAATGGTAAAAAAAAATAGAAAAACTGCGTGTTTACTGTGAACGAAAAAATGGGGCTAGTAATTTAAGTTTAACCTTAAAAAAACAGGTGCATTATGGTTAAGATATTTGGCTGAATTAAATCTCATTCATTCATCTGAATCTGATATGCAACAAATATTTAAAACACAACTTTCAGTCATGAAAAAAATAAGGACCAAAAAAAGAAGGGGTAAATTACAATCACCCCTGAAGTAAGTTTTATTTACGAAAAAACCCCTCGTTTTTCTATAATTACATCCACCCCTTGCAATTTATAGGTTTCTTACATTAACACCCTTTTGAAGGGGGTGGGTGTAAGAAATTTATAAACAGCAGGGGTTGGATGTAATTTATAAAAAAGAATGGGTTTTTTTTCGTAATTACACTTTATTGAAATTCAGAATGGAAAATCAACATGTAAAAATCTCAATTTACAGCTTATAATCCCCGGCCATTGGTCTTTTACAAATTAAGACAAACTAATTTGAGGATAATTAATTAAATTGCATTTAATTAAACTTCGTCAAAACTCGTCACCGTCGTTGGCTGCAGCCGAAGAAGCAGAATTTTGAGCTTCCAAAAGCTGCATTTGACGTTCGGCGTGTTCCCTTTCACAGGCAGTAACTCCCATGATAATATCGAGCATTGTGCCAGTCGTCCCAAAGAAGACAAGCGGTGCAAGAGATTTCCGTTTAATACCCACCGGTATTGCTATCAAAGCACCAGCCACCGAAAATACCCATGTGCCCAATGCACTGCAAAACGTTCGTGTAAACAAAATCTCAGTAAAAATAAAAATAAAAAATCGAGTATATAACAAATACCATATAGATATCAAGAATCGACATTCATGGAACGAACTATCTAGTACATGCACTAGGCCTCGATTAGGTAATATATCAAGACTATCAAACGAGGCCGTAAGTTGATAAGAGGTCGTACTTACATTTTTCGTTCGTCGTGATCATATCGAACTTTACTCGATTATGTGATATCCTTTATTATCCTTAAATAATTCACTCAAACAATATGGTAAATATGAATGGGAACTTCGTTTCGGTACAAAGCACAAGATGGTTTCCTACAACAACGGTTGATGAATTTTGAAATTGTTCGATGCAATAGCACATTTCAGCCATCACAAACATTGGGTACGCGCAGTAGATTAGTGATTTCGAAAAATCGTAGAAACACATTTTGCAACTCATCATGAACTAAAAAAGTACGTAATTTCAAAATGTACAAAAATAAAAAGGGTAAATTACGATCACCCCTGATGTAAGATCAAATTACGAAAAAATTCAGTTTTTTATGCACCACAATCTGATCTGATAAATCTGATATTACACAAGTCAAGACAAGAGACACATTTTATGATCATCTTGTTTCAAAATGTGGAGCTCGAACGGGATAAAAGTATATCCAACATAATCTAGAAAATTCCACTAAATTTTGACACCGCAAGAGCGGACATGTAGGAATATTCATGGGTGATGGGTTGTTGTAATTACCCAAAAAAGGAGGGGCTTTTTTGTAATTTACACAAAATAAAACAGAGATAAAAAGGAATACGAACTTTGATACAGAACAATCTTTCAATTGTTTCACTTCCTCGTTTGCAGACATCTCCAATTACAGTTTCACTGATTTCTTCACCTTCCCCACCAAATCGTAATCGCATCAGCCAAAACAAAATTATAGCCAAAAAAAAAAAAAAAAAAAAAAAAGAAAAAATTTGTAACGAATCATAATTAGTTATGTGCAATATACAAAAACCCACATACCAAAATGTGTTCTTTTCAAGTCAATAATTCATGGGCAATTGAAAGAAGAAAGAAAAGGGACAAATACCTCTGAAGTAGAGAGAGAGAGAGAGGGATTCAACGACGTCGTAGTGTGAGAAGCATTTTCTGAAAATCAGGTGCAATTATGAACAAAGATGCCAGGAGGGTTTTTCAGTCATTTGGGCCTTTTCAGAGTAGTTTTTGGACTAGGCTTTATTTTAGCCCAATATTAGTTGGGCTTTTTATGTATCAAAATTAAATTTATATTCTATTTTTATTTTGAAAAAACAATCAATGACAAATAGCACGGACATAAAATCGGTGATACGGGAAAACGGACACAGGAAACAACATGTGACATGTCCGAAAAATGAGGATATGGGAGTTTGGGGAAAACGTGTACATATTAGAAATATAGCGGTATATTTATAAACTTGCGATATAAACATTTATTAGTTTTTATTTATATATAATTTTTTTAAAATTTAGTTTAATACAAACATATTCAAAATAAATTTTATTATCAATTATCAATTTGCAGTTGATCGTTAAATCATGTAATTAATTAGGAAAACAACGTAGATATTTGAAATTTTGTTGTCACACATGTTTCTAACTTTTTAAATATTACAAAACGGTTCACAAGGTGTCCGACAAGCTTCTTCGAGTGTTGGACATGAAATGTGTGCAAAACGCGTAGAAGTTATAAATTTTCGTGATACACCGCTTAGAAGTTATAATAAATACTATTATTTATAAATATCCTATTTTCATTATAAATAATGTATAAACTAAAAGATACGAAAAAAAAATAATTAATCCCAGTAATAATAAGACAATGAAAAATAGAAAAAAATAAAATCCAAAAGTTACCTAAAAAATAAAAATATTAATATAAAAAAGAAAAAAATCAGACCGACATAGGTAGAAAATTAAGTAAACGATTTTTTTTTTCTTTTATTTTTGGGTAAATTACGGCTACCCTACTGAACTCTACTGAAGTAAGATTAAATAACGAAAAAATCTCTAATGTTTGGGTAATTACAACCACCATCATCTATGAATCGTCTTACACATCTACCCTTGAGATGCCAAATTTAGTGAAATATTCTAGATTTTTCAGTTTATACCCATTTTACCCATCGAGCTGCACATTTTGAAACAAGTTGATCATAGGATGTGACTCTTGACTTGTAAATATCAGATTGTGGTGCATCCGAAACTACATTTTTGCCTAAAACGAGTACAAACTAGATAACATTCCACGGAATCTAGAAGATTATGTTGAATTTGACACTATAACTGTGGACATGTAAGAAGATTCATAGTTAAAAGAGATGATTATAATTACTCAATATAAGAGGTTTTTTTATAATTTGACCATACCTCAGGGGACTGACCGTAATTTACCGGGCCATTTTTTTTTTTAGAATATTTCGGGTTTTTTTTTTGAGAATTGGGGTCATTTTATAATTATTTACAAAAATACAATAAAGCGTCGTTTAAAACGACGCGTTTTAAGGGCCGTTGGATTGATCTGAGATTGACGGCCAGATCTCCCTCCTAATCTGACGGCCAGGATTGAAGACAAGATCTGACGGTCCTTAAAAAGCGTCGTTTTGAAAGACGCACTTTGCGGACCGTTGGATCGAGCTGCGATCAACGGCCAGATCTCCTATTTTGTCCTCGTTATCTGACGGTCACGGATTGAAGACAAGATCTGACGGTCCTTAAAACGCGTCGTTTTGAACGACGCGCTTTGACCTGTCAGGGTTGAACGCGTCATTTAAAACCACGCGTTTTAAGGACCGTCCGATCCTTCTCGATCTGACGGCCCTGATTTACCCGAATATATATATATATATATTTAATCCGAAAAATAATTTCCTTCACCCCTCATTTTTGCTGCCCTTTCTCCCACTGCTCCCTTCTTCCCAACAACAAATGTAAGTGTTCTTTGCTCTCTTTTTTTTTTTTTTTAATTATTGTTTATTTGTAGTTTTTAATTTATATTTTAATTAATGTAGGTAATTTTAATTAATTTCAGCAGGTTACTTATTGAGGTAATTTTTTCACTTTTTCAATTATTATAGTTAAATAGGATTTTAGTTATTAATATAATTTTGTTAAATTTTTATTAATGGTGGATTAATGGTATTTTTATCTAGTAACTTATTAATTATTTGGAGATAAATTATTTATTGTATTGTTAAAATATATATAATTTTTTATGAAATTCAATTTTTTATTGTTGTTTTTACTTGTTACTTTTAGGTTAAATTTGAACTTGTGGTGGATTTAAGAAGGAATGTTTGATTAGTAGAATAATTAGTAGGATAAATTAATTAATTAATAGTGAGTTAGTGGATAAATTGTGTTTAAATAATTCTCGAAGGGGAACTTGAACTTGTCACGAGTTGTGTTTAAATAATTTCTGAAATTTTAATTTTTTTTAATGGTTTAAATATGATACCAGTAGAATAATTAGTAGGATAAATTAATTAATTAATTAATAGTAAGTTAGTGGATAAATTGGTAGTATTAGTTATGGCATTAGCCCCTCAAGTTTACATTAGTTTCACTTTTGATCTCATGTTTTAATAATTTAACATCTTTTCATGGTTTTTTTTTCTTGTTTTTAAATAATGGCTGAAATTTAAATTTTGTTGTGTTCTGATTGTTATAATTAGGTGAAATGTAATTTGTGGTTGATTGAGAAGGGATTTACGTTGCTAGCAAATAATAACTATTTGGAGGTATTTATTTGTTATATTGTACAAATTTTATTTTTTTTATTGTTGAAAATTTAATTTTTTTTGTTTTATTGTTATAACTAGGTTGGAAGTGTAATTTGTGGTGGTTTGAGAAGGGATTTTTGTAGCTAGCAAATAATAATAATTTGAAGGTAATTATTTGTTATATTGTACAAATATAGTACAACTTGGGGTTGGAGCTGTTATTTTTTTCCTGTTTATTAAATAATTGCTGAAATTTTTATTTTGATGGTTTTTTAACTAGGTGGAAGTCTAACTTGTGGTGGAGTGAGAAGTGATTGTGGGTGCTAGCAAATCTTCAATTATCTTTGAGGTAAATTAAATATTTTATTGGTTAATTAAAGTTTTACTTGAATTACACAATTAAAGTGTTATATGAATGTGTCGAAAAATTACGAATTACACAATTTTTTAAGGATTTATAATATACAAATTAATAGTTTTCGAACTCTCAAATTATAAAACGAATTAGAAAATATTAAATATTAATTGTTTGTTTTAACTGATTTATAATCTAATATTTAGTGTTTGTAGCTATAAAAAAATTAGAAAATATTTAATATTTCAAAAAAAAAAAATAATCTCAAAATATCAAAATATAGGGTTTCAATGGCGACTCCGGGTAGGAATACTGTCAAAGTTTTCGTGTATATAGGAGGCCATATTGTTCATGAGGGATTGTCAGTGAATTATGATCAACCTCATCATACAGTCGTACGAGTGAAACGCGATATATCTTTCTCTGACTTTTTGGCGAAAATATACTCACGTTGCCGAATAGATAGAAATGAATTTGTGTTATCGGTGTCGGGCAAAATATCACGATGGTATCAAAATCAGTGGAGCGAGATAGTTTCTGAGATAACAAGTGATGATGATTTAGAAATCTATTTGCACCCGGATGAAGGAAACGATTCCATAGATGTTTATGTTGAGTCTCAGCCTTTATACAATCCTTTGATACCTTCACAATTCACTACATCAGAGCCTCTCTACTCCCCTTCGAGACCTTCACAATTCAGTACATCAGAACCTCTCTATTCCCCTTCGAGACCTTCACAATTCACTACATCAGAACCTCTCTACTCTCCTTCGAGACCTTCACAACATTTTGATTTGAATGATGCGTACAATTCATTTATGCAAACAAGTCCTGAGTTAGTTGCGGTTACACAAGGGTTTTCCAATATGGGCTTTGAAGCGGGGCCATCGAGGCATTCTTATCAAAATCTTGGGGTACATATTGGGGAATCAAGTGGCATGAGAAATGCTCATGAAAATTTTGATCTTCCGAATGAAACTCGTCATTGTGATAATAATGATGACGATGATCCTTTCGGAGATGCACATGGGCCAAATGTTCGAAGCGACTCTGAACCGTCCGACCATGGAGACGATGATGATAGTGGTGAAGAGAACAACGATGAGAATATCGAAGCCGTTGATGACGTTGTACAAACAATATCGCAGGCAGAAATTCCATCAACTTCTCATGTTCATGTCAGCAATCCATCATTTGCAGAACCTCCTACTCAGTTTTATGATCCACCTTCGTACGTCAGTTCGGGATGGTACAACCCATACCTGAACCTCCTGAAAATACTGAGACGGATTTCCGGATGCACGTCAATGCTAACCGTACAGGTGCTACCAACCGAGACTGGAGGCTTACACATGTTTCGCATGTTACCGCTTGGGATAATAGACTCGATTATATTGTTGATTATCCATATGCCAGTGACAGTCAGACTACAGAAGATGGTTATTTTGAGTGGTATGAACTGCACACACGTCGTTTCATATCACCGATTACCCCATCTGATCGTACAGGATTTCAGGTTGGAGGTCAGATTTCAATGGATACAGTGGTACGTATTCAAATTTATTTATTATAAAATTTTGTGTATTATATAATTTTTATTAATGTATGTCTTCTAAAAATAAAATATTTCTTATTACTTATTTCAGATTCAGCATCTTCGATCGTTGATTGTTTCTGTTGATGGCGGAGACATGCCCCGGGATGGCTATCGTTCGTATTTACCGACTCTCAGAACATGTCTTAATGTCTTAGAGTCTCGACACGGACCTTCAGATAGGCCTCAATCTGAGATGCATTATACTCAGACTCACTCTCAGACTCAGACTCAGATACCACTGTCTCAAATGCCTCAGTCACAGACTCAGATGTACGCTGGCGAGGCAGGAACTTCTTCTCGTGCATATTATCCGGCATTCGATAATTATACAGATCCTAGAGCACACGGGCATCCATCTGGTATGTTTAGTACCTTTGATTTTATTTTTAATATTATCTACAACTGTGAGTTTAATTATAATCTCGTTGATGCAGATCCGTACACCCCATACCCCTACTTTAATCCGAATATGAATTCGGAAGACCCAATTCATTTGGGGTCTACGCATCAGTTTTCGTCTTCGCGACCGGTAGATCATCAGATCACACCTATTCCTTATTTTGAATCCGCAAATTCTTCGAGTGATGAGGATGAACAAGTTGGTAGAGGGCACAGGACTAGAAGGCCCCCGAGATGTGGCACCGGAGGTCACCGTCATTGGTGATATTATTATTGTAGTTTATGTTGGTTATTTATTAAAACTTTTTCGTATTTTAGTTATTCAATAAAAAACAAATTAAATAAACTAAAGGATTTAGAGACAAACAATATTTCCCAATAATTAGGCATTTTATTTTTATTTAATAAAATATGGAAATCGGACGGAATGGATCGAAAATGCCTTTTTTGGAAATTTTCCAATTTTTTCGGAAGTTAAAAATAGGTTCCAATTTCCGTTCCAAAAAAATCGGAATTTCAAAATCCATTCCAATTTCGGAATACCTCGGAATCGGCGGAATTTCGAAATTTTCGGAAATTGCATTAATTCTTAATGTTTTGTTCCAAAATCGGAAATAATGGTAATTTTTAGTATTTTTTTTTAATATTTTCGTAATTTTCCGGCAAAATGCAAGAATCCAAAGCAAAGTTCAATCAAATAAAATTTAAACACTTGTAAAAAACAACATAATTGATATATCAAAGCAACTATAATTCTTGCAAAACATCAATAGAAAAATAATTCAAAAACACAATATATATATATATATATATATATATATATATATATATATATATATATATATATATATATATATATATTTCCAACATGATTATTTCAAACATGATTATTTCCGAAATACAATCGGATCGGAAATCGGAATTTCCAATAATTTTATATGTAATTCCAATTCCGTTCCAAAAATAATCGGAAAAATCGGAAATCGTAAATCGGAAATTGGAATGAAAAAAAATGTTCCAAATTCGTATTATTTTATAGTGAATTATAAAATAAATTGCATAAATAAATGAAGGAAAATTTTTAAAATACAATATATAATTAATTTAAAATTAAAATTCGATTAACCATTCCAATTTAACAATAAAAAGAATTAAGTAAATTTAAAAAACCTTAGATCAAATCCAGCCGTTGATATAAACACAATCCAACGGCTGGTAAAAGGCGTCATATTAAATGACGCTGTAATCCAGTGTGGCGGGTTAAAGGGCGTCGTTTTGAATGACGCCTTTTAACAGCCGTCCATTGCCCAGATTAATCTCTGGCCGTCAGATTAGGAGGACAAGATAGGAGATCTGGCCGTCAATCTCAGCTCAATCCAACGGCCCTTAAAACGCGTCGTTTTAAACGACGCTTTATTGTATTTTTGTAAATAATTACAAAATGACCCCATTTCACAAAAAAAAAAACCGAAATATTCTAAAAAAAAAAATGGCCCGTAATTTACCCTTTATTTTTACCGAAAAATTAAATAAATTAATAATAATTTGGAACCCTGGAAAATTAACAATATTTAGAACCAGGCCAACCTTTATATTGGGCCAAGCCCTAATATCAAAATTCTCTACTAATTTAAGTGTAACGAATAAAATGAAGTAATCCAAAAAGCGCTAATGCAGCTTAGCAACAATTGAGTATAACAACCACCTGCACACAGGGAGCGTGACATTCACGCGGTAGAAGGGGGATGAGGGGTGTTGGAGGTCCCTTATTGTGCATCAGCGATCTGCTAAGCGACGTCGCTGAAGAAACTTCCGGCGTTCCCCACGACCACGCGCCACCATCCGACGCCGCCGACGTTTCTAAGCTGCCGCCGACTGATATCCCCAAGCTCTTCCAGGTAATCTCTTTCCACCATCCACTTCAAACAAGTCTGAATTTCTTCGTGAATTATCTGGAAATGTTTTTGTTTGAGGGATTTGTTCTGGATTATTGAATAATTCTATTTATGGATTATAATCCGTATAAATTTGAATGGATTGTTGATATTCTTTAGTGAATTAGTACCAAAATTGATTGGATTGGTGATGAAAAAACTGTTAATTGAAGTTATTGGGATTGTAATTTTGAATGTTTCTCTAATCTAAGGAAGGCCAAGCATTCGGTTTGAATTAGTGATCGTTTTCGAACTCCTGGTTTCGTTTTTCCGAATCAGTACCAAAAATTGATCAAATTGGGGAAGAAACAACTGTTAATTGAAGTGATTATGATGGTAATTGTGAATATTTTTGTAATATAAGGAAGCCGAACCTGCTGGTTTGGATGAATGATTATGATCGTCTTTCGAACGCCTGATTTCGTTTTTCCGAATCAGTACCAAAAATTGGTCAAATTGGGGAAGTAACATTGAAGTGATTAGGATGGTAATTTTGAATATTTTTTTAATAGTAGGAGGCCGAACCTTTCGGTTTGGATGAATGATCGTCTTTCAAACGCCTGGTTTCATTTTTTTATTTATTTTTTTTCGCGTAATTAAGAAATATCCACCCTTAAGAAAAACCATATTCTACATTACATAAAGAGATTATCGGAGGGTAATACACCTCCTAGTATTGATACTTGCTGCAACAAATGAAGTTTAGCTTCTTTATTTGACCTAATTACGTTTTTTCCAGGAAAACTTCAATGAACTGAAAGGGGCACTTGAGGGTGGAGACCACTCTTGGACAGCTCTTACACTGAAGGTACAATACTGCACTCTTAGGCCTCGTTTGGTTGGGGAGATTTGCCCTGATTAACTAGATAATTGGACTTTGTTAAATGTTTCGACCCACAAATATTCTTCCCTTCTAGGCATGTTTTTTATTGGATCATCAAGTTCCAATAATATAATTCAGTTTTATTAGATTATCTAATCTTATCTTGGCAACCAAACGGGGCCTTATTATTAGTATGTCATATATCGGCACAAATATATGTTTTTCCCGTTGCTTATTTGAAGGTTTTTTAACAAACCATTTGCCGTTAAATATTTCAGAAAAAAAAAAAAAAAAAAAAAAACTTGAAACTTATTGCATGTTTTTGAGATTTTCGACTTTCTTCCTCTTATATGTTCCTCAGCCTCGTAATTGTTTCGTTTTTTTTCTCATTTTCTGTGGTGGTTCAATTGTTATTGGCTATTTAGTTAACACATGAATTGCAGAGTAATGTTTAGCTTTTTATCGTTTATATGTCAATTCATATTGTCAGTCTTGGTATTTGCTAATGATTTTCCACTGTTTACTGTATTTGTAGCTATGTTCCGCACTTGAAACCGCAAACAAATTGGTCGACTCAAGCAATTCTAGTGTCACCTCCTTGTCCAAAAAGGTCGATGAGCTGGAACGAATCGTCAACCGAAGAGATTCTGCTATAACAGCCGCCAAAGAAATCCAAGGTTCTCTTAAATTATACGACCAATTATAATTCGTGGTATAATGCACTATACGTATGTCGGTCGAAACGAGGATTCTTGCTCTCTTCAATACATACATACATATATAGTTTTGTAATAACAGTCTGATTCATCCAATTACTTTTAATGGGCTTTCTTACATTATGGTAGCCTCAATTAAAACCCTTGGTGGTGGGCCTTACCTAACTTAATATTGGGCTCTGTCCCTCTTGGGCTATAAAAGTAATATATTATTATTATTATTATTAATTTTTTTTTTTTAGTAACAAAATCAGATTGAAAGATTTATATACTTCGTCCCCCTACTTCTCAACTTGTAAAAAGATTAGAATTAATTAGTAAATAAATAAATAAATAAGAATAAACGAGGAGATTTTCGACATTCAGTATAATCGTAGGGCAATATTTTTTTATAGTATAAGCTCCAAAAATATAGACTTTCATGGTAAGGTGGGAATGTGGTCCTAATTTTAAGTTTTAACATCACATGCCATTTGCTAATTGTTTTCTTTAGACAATTGAATAATCATACTTATTTTTATTTTATTTTTTTTAGAGAAAAAAATAAAATAAAAAATGGATGACGTCAGCAATACTAACATGACGTTTTGAGTGTAATAATGATGGTGGCCATGGTTGTAATATAAATTCCTAAATTAGCGTAACGCAGCAGAAGCAATACTAAGGTGGTGTTTGCAAATGTTTTTTGAAAGTGATTATGCGGTTTTTTTTGCTCATAATCTGTTTTTAGGTGTTTGCAAAATCAACTTTTGCTTTTGCTTCTCTTAAAATAATCTGCTTTAAGCTATTTTTTTAAAAGCACCCATAACCCTGCTTTTTCAATTTTAGTTCATTTTTCGAAATATTTGCAAACACCCCCAACTTTTAGAAATAAGCACTTAAAACTAACTTAAATCACAATCACTAACTTGTGCTTTTAAATAATCATTTGCAAACATCACCTAAGTTGCAAAAGTTAGTTAGTGGAAAAGAACACACTAACTAGAGTCTTAGTCTTTGTTTGTATACGAGTTAATTAATTAATTAAGCACGTAATTAACTTTTAATGAGTCCATTGAGAAAAACAAAGCCCCTTAAGCTCCCAGTGTCGTGTTAGGAATAATTAAATTCCTGCAATTATTTGCTGCCTGTTTCCTAAACAGAACCATAATTATGTGTCATTCCATCCTAAACAACCAAATTAAGCAGTATAATGTATTAATATGAGTAATTAAGCCAGCTATACCCACGTTATACAACTAATTAATCCCAATTTTATTTTAGAAAATTAAAAAAAAAAGTTAATTCTCCAATCTTTAATTAGCTATTTGTTTCTCTGAAAAACTGTTTTTTTTTTCTCGGGCACTGGTAAAGATTGGATAAATTACAGGAACCCCCTGAAGTATGACCGAATAACTTACACATCTATATGGTAAATACTCCTCTCAACTATTGATTCGTCTAACAGTTACACCCTTACGATAAGCGGAATCAGAAGATTTCATAGAATATTCGATATAAATCTCATGCCCATAAGGGGGTAAATGTAATATTTTGTCTTACATAAGAGGTGTATCTGTAATTTACTCACAGTTTGTTTGTTTAATAAAATGGTAATTTAGACATAATCATTCATTTCAGTAATATTATGTTAGGTTTAAAGGAATATTTGTAATTACTAATACCATAGATTTATAAGTTATTTAGACTTACCGGAGGGATATATAACAAATAATACATCGAGCTTGTTTAAATGGACTGAAACGTAATTATACATGAAAATTAGTTTAATCCTTAAATAAAGAAAAACAAAAGTTTGTCGGAGAGAGCCGTTTGAGGACAAATAAAAAATACTTATTATTTGGGAGTTGCTTATTATTTAGTGAAGTCTATTTAAAATAATATCTCCTCCTTTTTCATTGGAGAATGTTCTGAGAATATGTCAAATTAACTGTTTTTTTTATACTTTGGTTGACAAAAAAAATTAGATTTTAAATAATGAAAATTGTTTTAGGTATTTCGATAATTTCCAAGTAAATAAATACCCCTGTGACAACGATTATTGGAGAACCTTTTTTGACTCGCGTCACCATTATTTTAAATTAGTTTAATTTCGGTCGCCGGAAAAAAAAAAAAGAAAAAAATATATAAAGTAAAGCAAATAGGTGAGAAATCATAGAAAGGCCTGCATCAATCAATTGGTTATCATCTTATTTTGATCAATGGAATTGGATTTTATTATGTTTATTGAAATATAATTAGTCATGAAACAATTTCAAGTTTGAGAAGAAAATTAGATATTTAACACTCAAAATTTAGTTGTGTTGATTAATTATTGGAATTATGACGTCACCACTTTTATTTTATATGGAGCAAATTGACTTAAATAAGAACAAAATATTAATCGTAATTTCCATCAAGACGCTTCTTACCGTGCAAAAATATTTAAAAAAAAAAAAATCGAATTCGAATTCGAAACTCGAAAACCCGGAAACTTGAAAAATACGATATACAATATTAATTTGATAAAGAAAAGACAGAAAAATAATTGGTGCCTCTACCAACGGGCGTGCTCCATTCACAGAATACATGCCGGCCGTTGGATTATTTATTAGCTACAACTCAAGAAATTGACGGCGCACATCTCATCTCTATTTTCTTTGTTTTTTTTTTAAATCATTAATTTCAATTGATTAAATTTTGATAATCTATATGATCTTGGTCAAATATTTATGTATTCTCAAAATTTCTAATTGAGAAGTAGACCATGGGAGATCTAAACTGTACAAGTAAATATTGTTCGACCTATGAGATGTTACATCCGGTGTAACACATCGAATGATTTTATTGTAGAAGTAAATGTTATTCACTGAGCACACACATATATATGCTATTATGTGTAGATCAACGGTTTAAAATCACTCGGGTACCTTGCCGAGTGCAGCACCTGCGAACCGTATATCCTGAGTTGCGAACTATAAAAATGTTCAAAAATAGTATTTGATGCAACATATAACTTTAAATTAGATTTTTAAATTGACAAAAGTAAAATTGATTTTAATTAGTAGTTTTGCAGGCGATTAGTTGTGATAGGTTAGGACTTAAGGATTTGACTTTGTATTTCACTTTTCTCATGTCATTTGTGATGTGTACATTGTGAAGTGACATTTGATGAATACATTTTAGATTATTTAATTGAATTAATTACATTCAATATCATTTAAAAAAAAATATTGTGTTATTGTTGTTAAACAAAAACCTCATGTAATTTTTTTTAGCTTTCTAAAATAAAATATAAATTAATTATATTTTCTTGCATAATTACAATAATTTGTCATTATTTACGAATAAAACGACAATTATTTTTATTTAAATGTTTATTTGACTAACTCAAACAAAAAAAAATGAAGATTTAATCATGGTTTTCTCTAACTAATTCAAGTGATGGTAACCTAGCAAGATCAAAATTTGAATAAATTAAAATTAAATTTAACTTATTGAATATGAATATTAAATATGTGAAGGTGTTTTAGGTGTATAATGAGACAATAGAACCACTTTTTATGATAGTGAAACACCTTTGACTAGTCTTTGAATTAAATGTACTTGAACTCCACTAACTTTTGAATCAATATAATCAACCAATTAGGAATTGAACCACAATAAATTATTTCCTAAATATACCATCATTTTTTTTTATTTATTCTAATTTTTTTGATTGGTTTTCGATAATGATTCCTTTGTTGGGGCCAAAGATGTGATTGAATCTGTCATATTAGGGAGACATTCATTTCTTGATATTTTAAAATTAATTGTTTCCATCAAACAATTTCCTAAAATTTGAGTTTTATGGGTGTGATATATGTCGTTTCAGTTTGAATAATAATGTATCGACTTTTAATATGAGTCTGACCATTTAGGAGGCTGAATTTGGCAAAATTCAAAACGTGGAATATGAAGTTCTCTAAATTAGCGTTCTTATACAATTTGAATCACATTGAATTTCAGATGAGAAAGATATGAATGAGTCAATGAACTATTCTCACAACTTTAGTGTTTTGAGATATCTAAAATTTAAAACTTAATTCATTCATGGATAATTTTGTCATACGACGTCCAATCTAGCTGGTTCAAGTTTGAATAAAAAGCTAACTCAAAGGACTACAATTTTCTTGTTTCGAATTTTGTCAAAATCAGCCTAAAATTGGTCAAAATCACATTCAAAATCAAAACAGTATTAGTAAAAATTGAAACACCAACATTTCAGCTTCATATACTACCAAAATGAGGTCTTTTAACTTATTCTTCCTAAGGAGAAATTATTGCAACATTTGAAAAAACAAAAGTGGCCCTTTTCTTTTATGTGATTTATTTAATTTTTGCATATATCCAAAGTGAACATATAATTATTGAAAGTATATACTAAAACCAAAATTAGAACTCCAAAGAACATTAATTTTTTTTAATAATAATTATAAATAAATACATCCAAATTAATTATATGTAGAACCGTGCAATACATCGTCTAGAATTAAATTATCAAAATAGAAACTATGTCGACATCGTACAGTACGTACGATACATATATCATCACATACGTATTCACACACAATTAAACAAAAGAAAGAGCTTTGCTGAGGTGGCCGAGCCGGACCAGCCGGCAAGGCTGATGCTATATGGAGCTAGTGTGACCTGATCTAATATTTATTTATTTAATTAATCTCAAATAATTAATTACTAATCCTTATTATAGTACGTAACTGAAGTGTTACGGTTATTAAGTTAATTTATTTTAACTGTTATGCCGAATCTTATAAGCAACTGAACTTTCAATTTGATGATTTCCAAGTTAATATTAATTATACAGGATCCAAGTTATGTAACTATGTATGCAATTTTTGGCCTTATTGATTTATCATTTATTAGGGTTTTTAACTTTTGCTGTAACTTTGCATAATTGGAAATATAACTTACGTTTTCATCATATATAGTAAGAATGTAAGAACTACAAGACACAAAAATATATCAGTTTGATTAAATAAAAGAGTTAATTCAAGAAATTATTTGGGTTGTTCTCGACGAAATTCTTCGACTATCAGGTCATTTTTATTATTATTTATATATAGTTCAGATAATTTAAAAAAAAAATTCGAGTGAAATTGAAGTTATTCGACTATTTCAAAACGACGAGGGTGATGGAATAATATTATCCCGGGCATCTTACTTTTCTTAATTGATTTGT